CTTAATGGCATGGTATGGTCTGAAATAGACTTAATATACCTATGGGTTCTCATGAGAGGAGATTGCAGGCCAAGAAGAGAGTTATTGAATTGAATTGTGTCCTCTGTGATAAAGGCCTAGAAGATGATGACCACTTATTTCTTACTTGTGATTATGCTCAGCAAGTTTATGAGAGGTTACAAGGCCAACTGGGGTGCAAGGCATATGCAAATAATCTTAGGTAGTGTTTGGCAATTAGCATTTCATTTTAATTCAAATATTTCAATTCTAAAATTTGAAATCTTGAATTTCAAATTACAAGGGATCATACATGGATTTCAAATTAAGCTTTGTTATGAATAAGAAAAATTTGACTCAAATCCAAATTCAGAATTTTTAAGTTTCCCAAACATGGAATTTGAGCCAAATCCGGATTCGAAATCCAAATCTAAGTTCCCAAACATACCATTAGCGAGTTCTTTACTAAACTCGGGATGAAGGGGAGTAGAAGCAAATATGGAGGGCAATCTGGGCTGTCATAGTCTATACCATTTGGAAAATAAGGAATAAATTGGTTCACCAGAAAGAAGCTACTAACACTGAAAAATGTGTCAATTATGTTTGGTTTCATATTAGAGCGTACATCAATAGCAAGGGTGGGAAACAGATAATTTGAGGGGTTTAGTGCTACTTCTTTAGTTGTTGTCTTTTGTGTTGTTTAAGGCTTTAAGCTTGTGTTGATTTTTGTTTGGTTGGATTGATGTAACTTGTGGATGTTTTGGTGGAATGAAAATTGTGTGCTTTCCGTTTCAATTTTTTTATCTTAAATAGGAATAGAATATAGAGAAAGTACTAAAATAAGAGCTCCATTTCAAAATAAGAGTTTCATTGTGGTAATGTGACACTGTATATGAACATTTCACAATATATTTGGTAATGTACATAATCATGATTGACACTGTAAATGTATTTTATTTTAGAAGTTAACCTAAGTAGGACTAAAACATTTAAAAAAATACCAAAATAGGAGTTCTATATTTTTATTCCCGAAATAAGATTTCGCGCAATGTATTAATGTGTTTGTAATTTGGCACTGTACATATGCACATTACCATACTTTTTGGTAATGTACATGACCATGTTTGGTAATATAAATGTATTTTAACTCGTATTTCAAGAATAAAAATATGGAAGTCCTATTTTGGTATATTTTCAATGTTTTACTCCTACTTTAGTCTTTTTCCCATTTTATTTCTTATTTCGGGAACAAAAACATTGAATTCTTATTTTAATATCTATCTTCAATGTTTTACATCTATTTTAGTTGTTTTCCCAATTATGATTTTATAATTTAAGTTTTATGATTTAGACCTCAATTCTTTTTCTTTTTCTTTTTTCAATTAGCAATCTTCTCTTTTTCATCAAGCCTATCCCCCCCCCCCTCCCCCTTCATTTTTTTCCTCCTCACTGGAAGGACCTAAAATCTTCACCGGAGTAAATGAAGGTTCTAATTGCTAGATTCACAATTTTAGCCTTCACTCCTTTCGGTTGAATGAATAGAGATTCCAATTCTCTAGAAATCCAAATTTCCTTTTTTTTTTTCAATTTTTTGTTGGTAGTAGTGGGCATTTTTATTTTCCCTTGAATTTGCTCCTCATCAGATCTTCATGCCAATGGCTAGGTTTTTATTAGAAACATTATTTAAGTACCGAAGGATTTCCTAGAAATTTATTTTTTGGCCTTCTCTTGTGTTTTTTGAATCTCAAATTCTCTTCATGCGGAATCTATTAGGCTATCTTGCCCTGCGGGAAGGAACCACGTCGGAGGCAAGAAGGCGGGATGGGACGCGGGACAGAAGAGAGGCCCACGCCGTTCATCCCGTTCCTTTTTTGCTGTTTTTTTCTTCTTTTGCTTTCTTTTCTGTTCTATGCTGCTTTTCATTTTTTTTAAATTGCATCTTTAATTTTTTTTATTCAGTTTTTAAAGTTTGTACGAAGTATTTAATTTTATTTTATGTTTTCAGTTTAATTCATTAAATCAAATTAATTTTTTTTTAAAATAGAGTATATTCTATAATTAATCCTTTATAAGAGTCTTTCATTAACAAATACTCCCTCCGTCCCATAAAGATGGGTACATTTTGACTAAAGTAGAAATTAAGGGAGAGATAATTTTGTGTTGACTTTCTAAAATTACCCTTGATGTGATGGGTAAAAGTATGATGTGATGTGTAGATTATTAGAAAAAAGTATGATGTGATAGGTAGGGTTTGAAAAATTAAGGGGTAAAAGTAGTTTTTTAATAGAAATGGGTAAGAGATTGTGAGACGCAATTTTTTTGAAATGTGTAAATCTTTTTGGGACGGAGGGAGTATTACACTTGTTGTCTCTCTTTTATGGGGATCTTTCCACGAATCGTCCTTTTTTGACATTTTGTCGTGTTAGTATTAGTTTGACGTTAAAAGTGTGCTTATACTGATCATATATCTTTTTGTTGTCTTACCCAATGAAGAGGTCGCTCCTGATACATTGTTTGTAGATTGCAATCGCTATCTACTATAATTATAGTCTACAAATATCGTCTCTGGTCGAAAACTTCTTCTATAGTCATATTCATTATTGTTGTCTTCTTTGACTAGACAACATCAGAATATGTTACAGGAGATAGGGTTGATGTGAAATTATACTTTTAGTCCTTAAATTAACAATAATATGACAGAAGGTCAAAAAATATTATTCACAAAAAGGTACTCATAAAAGAAGGATCACAAGCGTAACATTTGATAATAGAGAACTAAAAATCGAAAGTTCTTATTATAAAGAACTTATTATAAAATCTACTCTAAAAAATAGTACCCTTCTGCCTAAAAATAGTACTCATTAAATGCTTTCTACCAAAATAGGAAATAGGAAATAAATTTTCGAACAATCTAAAACAGAAAGTGAGAAATTTTTAATGAATGGCGACCTCCGAGAATGTTCTAGCCACCTCCTAAGGTTCGAGCTCACGTGCTTCTTAAAGAAATTCTCTTTTCTTACTATCCCCACAATTCATAGACGACCAACAATTCTAACAAAGGCAAAACTATGGACTCCCAATACAATGTAGCAGAGAAGGCCCCTGGAAAGACGGAATTAGGAGTATATGTCTATATTTGATCTTTTTTTTGTAGGGTCTTATCCAATTTTTAAAATGTCTTGTCCAGTTTCCGGGACAAGTTTCCAGAACATGTTTTTGCAATTGTTTGACTATATGTGTAATCACGAAACCCTAAGAAGGGAGTTACCCACTATGTGGAAACCAACTCATCCAGGGGCCCATGACAAAAATGAGGTGTACTCATAAAGCATGATTATGTTTTTTTAATGTACTTTCAATAAAAAACAAAACAAATACTCTCCTAATCTCAAATTAAATTACATGTTGATTATTCAGAAGGTCAAATTTTAATTATTATCTTTTAATATTTTTTACTAATCATTTGATAAAATAATATGGTGTCACCACTAGTTTTGTAAACCATTTGATGTAGTTTTTTTAAATTTATACTCCCTCTGTCCCAATTTATAGTGCCTTTTGGTTTACGATGTTTGACTGAAATTATTTTCAAATCATTTTTATATGATAAATGGTATACAATTAAAAAAATAAAAATTACATATAAAAATACACATCAAAAGAGATACAAAACTAGTAGTGACAATAGTACTTTATTTTATCAAATTGCTAACGAGAATAGAAAAAGAAAGTGAATGAAGTTTGACCCTGTGAATAGTGAACAGACATTATAATTTGGAACGAATGGAGTAATTTTTATTTTTAATTCAATGTCATTTTTCAGATAAAATAATTTGAAAATAATGTTAGTCAAACAACGTAAACCGAAATAGACGATTTAAATAGGGATAGAGGGAATACTTCATTAAAAATATTACCCCTCCGTCCCAAATAATAATGCATGTTCACTATTCACAAGGTCAAACTTCATTTGCTTTCTTTCTCTATTTTCTTTAGAAATTTGATAAAATTAATTACTATTGTCACTACTAGTTTTGTAGATCTTTTGATGTAATATTTTAATATATAATTTTTATTTTTTAACTATATACCATTTGTCATATAAAATGATTTGAAAATAATTTCAGTGAAACACGTAAACCGAAACAGACGTTATAAAATGGGATGGAGGAAGTACATAATAAAATACTCTGTAATAAAAATGTTAACAATACTTAAAAATAAATAAATCAAACATAAATTCATAAAAAATAACATAGAGTATTTTTTTATTTAATTTAAGATTCTAATTTAAATAAAAAAAAGTACTCCAAATGAAAATTGGATTGCGGAGGAAAATTGGATCCATCAGTCCAAAAGGTGGAATCGCCCACCCAAGGAGGTAAATCATAATGACTCAGTCAGCTAAAAACGCTGGACCCATAAATTGGATCCATAAATTGGAAGATGGCGGAGTTTGAAATTAATGGAGATGGGGCGCAGCGCAATGTGCGTAACACCAGAATTTTTTTCGCAAATAGCGCTGGCAGGGGCGGGGTGCAGCAGCGCCATAAGGGCGCCTTCTTCTTAACTCCGTCTACATATGGTGTAAGACTCAAACCATTAACTAACTCAGCGCACACAGATATATGGTCTGTTTGGAATTAACGTCAATGTTTTAGAAAAAAATTTATTGGTGCAGATTATTTTGAAAATGCTAATGATAAATGTTATCCGTAGATGATCTTTTCAAAACGCTAACGCTAATATCTAGCGTTATTTCCAAACAGGCCTATACACGCGCTGACTTTCTTTTATGCATTTTACGCTAACGCTAATATCTAACGCTATTTCCAAACAGGCCGATACACACGTTGACTTTCTTTTATGCATTTTAAACTCGCCCCGCAACATGTGCAAAGCATTTCTCCAAACAATATTTGAGCTTCAAAAGAATTGTACCCTTAAAATCAAATAAGCACCCACAGAGAGCAGACGAGGAAGAGATTAGCCACACAAAAAACAAAACAGAAAACTGCCCAAAAGCACTTGTCTTAAAATTGTACTGTAATAATATCTGTACACTCGTATATAGACAAGCACAGCAGCATATATCAAAAGATCTAGAAATGGCCTTCGGCAATATTTCCTTACTGTAAAATCAAAGTAGCATGAAATTATATCTACACGCTCCTCAACCATCCCCAAGCTCTCCTCTGCCTTAACCAAATCCAAAACCTTCATTTGCTTCATGAATAGCAAGCAGCAGTCTCTCTTCTAGATGCTCTTTAGATGGATACTCCGGAAGATCTAACTGGTTGAAACTGCACCCATAATCAACACAAACACAATAATTGTATTTTAGCTCCATTGGCAACAGCCAAAATCATATCAACTCTAGCTATATTTGAATATGTTTATTAAGATTCTTGTTATTAAAAATCAATTCTAACTCTAGTTTATTAAGATTCTTGTTATTAAAAATACAATAAGATATAATGAATATTAAGTTTTTTGTTCAAGCGCGGCTGTTTCCGGGGAAAATATTGCCCTTTATATTGGACTAAATAGCATTAGTAACAACCCGTGATTGGCATCCTTCGTTGGGAAAACGAAGGAAATAACAGGAATGAACAAATGTGAATACCATGTAGGAAAATGCTAGGGGTACACCACAAGTGTACCCCAAACATCCCCCACCCCCTCCATCACCACACAAAAAAGGCAAGAAAAATTCAAAAAAAAGTAAAAATAAAAATAAAATAAAATGAATGGTAAAGAGGTGGGGTGGTGTACATTTGGGGTACACCTTTGGTGTACCCCTAGCATATCCCTACCATGTATGTGCAGAGGGCAAGTGGTTGGGACTGCCATATGCTTTGTGGATCTGAAACTTTTGGGAGCCTGATATGCCTTGCAGAGCACTAAAACCTTCAAGCGGGACCTGAAATGTAAGAGCCACAAAATGTAAATTCTCTCTACCATCCTCCAACCATTCAATTATTGGAGAAAACACTAGAAGTGTATTACACATCACTGAAAGAAATAAAATAAATTATACCTTAGAGGTACCGGTCACAAACTGTAATAACCGTGCCTTGTCCTCCTTGCTGAAACTTTGGACCACCTCCCAAAACCACTGGATAACATGGGAGGCTGCACTATACCCAGAGTACTCCGTATTTGCTCTCATGTCATCCACTGAATATCATCATTATCATTACCAGAAGTATAATAAGTCTTGGCTCTCAGACATAACAAAAGGTCAAAAGACATTTTTCATTAGAGAGATGATTCTACTTACAATCAATATCAGGCAGGCCACTTATAAGTAGTTCGAATTCCTTGTCATTGAAGATCGAGACCAAATCACGCGCTATCAATTCAGAGAACCCTTCCATGAATGCAGTTATCTGAGGACGGATGGCTGTAGTCAAGCGGTGTTCGGCAACCAAGTCAACATATTGGTGCTTATTTTCCTCTGTTACTCTACGGTTACGGCCACCAGGGATAAGTTCATAGTCAGTAACCTGCATCAGGTTAATGAATAAAAAAACTTAGTATTTTTCAAACAAGACAATGTTGTAAGAGAAAACTCTGAATACAGTACAGTTGAAGTGTTCCTACTTCATTGCGTTCATAAAGTATCAGCTTCTCTTCATCAGCATCAATGCTAAATGTAAGGTCCAAAATATCACTTATGTCGTTCTATAGAGCAAAGACAAAAAAATGTTACCAAAAGCACAGAAAGATAGAAAGAAAGATGCTAAGGTAGATGGCACAGAAAAGATGTGCACACACACAAACCTCAAGCAACCATTTTAGATTCTTGAAGTAATCAGGATCAATGGCTTCAATATCATGATACGTCACTTTAGACCCAAGGATATGCTTGTAGAAGGACCTAGTGAAGTGAACATCGAGGAGTTGGCCATCAAAAAGTGCCTTTCCAACCTGGATTTATGGTGAACTTTATTAGAAACGTATATACAAAAAAACCAGACCCAAGAAGAAGATTAAAGGTACTCACAACTCTCCCTACAAATTTGAAGTAGGATAGATGCTCAGTTTGGTAAACAGAGTTCGGATTTGGCTGAAAGGTTGATTCATTGCCAACTGTTGTAAATAACAGGGCTCCTTTGTCAAAAATTACCCTGGAAAGCAACTGGTACCATTCCCTGGTAAGTCCCCCAGCATCAATCCCCTCTTCTCCTTGAAAGTGAACTGTCAACCTCCCCTTCAGTTCTTGTGTGGACCTCATGCGCAGCTGGTTATATGAATCTTCAAGAATATATGCACGTCTCACAGAAATTCTCAGAGGACTATGATGATGATCATGCTGATGTTTGATCTTAGATCTAAAGTGAGACCTCTTATTGTCAAAATCAATGAAACGGGGAACCTTCAACATAATTGAGAAAGACTTCTCCAGCAAACCAGGGTTTTGGCGAATGAATGAATTCAGAAGCTTCCTATGCTTTTCAGCAAACCTTACAAAAGCAACATGTTTTTCATCAAACTTGATTACAGATCCTACCGCTTTCTGATGGGAAGCTGAAGCAACGGAGTCTTCAACATCAGTTGCAGCAGGTATAGCAGAATCACCCCCTGAAACTGAGTGCCCAGGTTGCAACTTTTCACACATCACAAAAAAGGATTCTATGTACGGTAAGATATTCTGAGTTCCAGCAGGAAGGACACTGGATGTCTTGGATGTAGAAGCAATTGATGGTCGTGACATATCAGCTGATGTATCAGCGAAGGTTTCTATTTTGCCTATGCAAGTACTGAGCTCAATCCATAAAGGCTCCAAGTCCGTGTGGATATTAGAAACTGGGGAAACAGCAGAAGCATGTTCTGCCTCAGGTGCCAGATGATCTTTCCCCTTTTCACTAAGTGAGGGTACAAGAGAGGTTAATGCTTGAAGAACCCTGAGAATTGCAGAACCATCACTAGAGCTAGAACTCAATAGCGCTTTATCTACTTGTGCAAAGTTGCGTAATTCATCCATTGCAGATTTAGTAAGAATGTGAATAGAGCCAGCAAGTTCAGCAGTAAAAAGATGACCATGTGCGGGGACAATGGTAACCAGCTTCTTAAGTACCTCTGCTACCAACGTATATGCATTGTCCGATAAGCTGAGGAAAGAAAGATGGTGTTACAATGACCTTTTAAAGGCAACAAATAAAAAAGGAAGTGAAAGTGTAAGGGTCATTTATTCCTAATTCCTACAGTAAAACCCTTCTTTTAATTCCCTATGTAGTAATATTCAGCAACCACATCATGGCAATAAAGTAGAAGCACACACACAAGTATGTGAATCTATGTTTCAACAAATCACAAATGCTGCAAAGACATGTTAGATGTATTTCTACAGCCAAATAATTTCAATATTGCGACTGTCCCAAACCAAGATGCAACATCATATGTATTGAAAAACACCATAGAAAAATTAGAAATTATTTCAAGACAGTTACCCTTCTCGTGCAAGTAGGGAACACAGAAGTTGGAGCTCTCCTCGTGGGAGATTGAGCAGTATAGTAAGAGCATCGCCTTCTCTTTTGGTGTATGATGATGGTTTGGATTCTTCACTAGTTTCTGATGTAATAACACGAGATTCTTCATTCATTTCAGCATCTGAGGAAGAACTTTGAGCAGGGGGCTGGTCAGCTGTAGTTGGTGCAGGCTGATCAAGAACATCTGATTTGCCTTCAGCAGCATTATCAACAATGACATCCAACAGATTTAAAAGCTGAAGTGAAAAGGAAAATGCAGATGAGATCATTGCTAGCGGCAATAGAATTTTCACAAAATTGATCTTGTATAAGCTACCTGCTCTAAATGTGCAACACTCCTTAGATATAGCGGGTGATTTAGCAGCCCCAACAATAATGCAACAGATACTTGTGTTTCATGCTGCTGCTGTTCATCAACCATCAAAGCCTTTCCGTGTCTTTGATCAAGATTCTTGTCCTCTTCTTGCAGTGACGGAGTGTCTCTAAACTCCAGTAGAGCCTTTGCAACGAAGGAGTGATTCCGTGCCAAGTATGTAAGAGTCTCCAAGACACGTCGGGAGACCAGAGGTGGGATACCTATGAATATTTACAATATCTTGTAATCAGAGCCACTTCTCATGATATCCAAAAATTAAATAAAAAAGTACAAATAAAAATACAAAGATTCAACAAAATACAAATGAGAGCACATTATCCAATACTTGACATTTTTTATCGAATACATATTTCATTAAATACTCAATAGTTTTTCTACCAAATACTCAATAGTCTCCATGCCAAGTCAAACCGGGAATGAAATTTTTGGACAGCGGGAGTAATTTATAATGATATATTTTATTTTCTATTTATTTATTTATTTGTGTTTTATTTATTAATTATTATTATTATTTACTTATTCAATCATTTTAATTTTATTATTTTAATTTTATTTTATTTTATTTTATTTTTTAATGACAAGGTGAAAAAAATTGACACGAGAAGAGTAGGACACGAGGAAGGAGATTTCGTCTGATTTGGAGGCATTGATTTGGAGGGGAGGGGAGGGAATTGAAGCTAAAATTTTGGGTCCCTTCACCTTCATGTTATTAAACCAAACAAGGGGAGAGATTCTGATTCCCTCCCCTCCCCTTTCCTCAAACCAAATAGACCCTAAGTCACAGAAGCACGGAAGGAGATGCCACAGTCTATGGCGCAAAGGACTGCCTTACTACCCAATTCCTAGACCTTCAGACACTCATTTTTAAAGTCATGTCCTCGGTAAGATGCTCAAGTCACAAGTCATGTCTATTCCTCTTCAAACTCTTAATAGGTCTATCTAAACCCCTCATCAATGCCCCCTACCTCAAGCTTTCGCACACCTCACTACATGTCCAAACCATCTTAATCTAGCTTCCCGCAGCTTACCGTTCAAAGAGGTCACACCCACCATCCACCGCAACGAGAAAAAAATAATAAGACATCTATAACAAAGGCAAAGCATTGGCTCCACCAATTTGAAAACAAGATAATCCTGTCACTTAAAAACAAAAGAAATTGGCATGACCTCATTTCATCAAATAGAGCTAATGAAAAACCTCTTACCATCCAAATGTTGTGGACGAGAATACATCACATTACTTTGGCAGCCATACAGCCTATAAGAAGGTTCAGAAGTATTCAGACCAATTGCAGGCTTCCTCACATCAAGCAACAACAAACCCATCAGGATTTTTATCAAAGCAGTTCTGGTCACAGCATGTGCACTCAGATTCAATAATACTTTCTGCAGATGCCCTTTGTAAAGTGGCTGGACACAAAGAAAATGAGAAATGAGCACCTTTTAATATCTTAATCATATTCAACGCCAATATTTTCAGTTAAATTCCACCAATAGAAGTACCTGGAAGATACGAAGCAAGCGAATCAATGCCTTCAAATCTTCTGTATCGACTAAAGGTGATCCATCTGCCTCCACAGGCTTACTTCCAAGTATCCTACGAACTCCACCAGCTCTATCAAGACCTTCACCATGTCTAGATGATTCACCTCTACGACTCCTAGGGTACGCTCCAAAAAGAGAGCGATTGTATCTTCGTGCAAATCTCTCTCGAAGCAAGTTTGCTTCCGCAACTAGAGCAGGTGTAAGATTTGCAAGTATGGCATCCGAAGATGTCAAAAGAACCTGTCAAAATATAATTGAAATGGGGATAAGCCGTGTGTAGAATGAAAACATGAAGAAAAAAAGTGCAACTCATGTCTGCTAATACCTCTTCTCGTAATTCAGAAGGGAATGTTGCAATGATGGAAACAGTATCCATCTCAACAGGTTGTCCTTCCAATTCATGAGATTGCTGCAGTCTTTGTGCTCGTTGCTGAGCCAGTACTTCTTCCCTGATATCTGGTGGAAGTGCAGCAAGAAACTCGGGATCTATATCCTCAGTCGTCCGTGGTTCCGCATTTTGAGGCTGAGCCACTTGACCCTGTTGGGCTGAAAGAACCTCAGCTCTCAGCTCTTCTGGTAGTGCCTCCAAAAAGGCAGGGTCAATAGACACACCATCAGTGTCAATATTCTGTTGATGTTCCTCGGATGGCCCACTTCTCTCTGATTCTTGATTTGTAGGTTCTGACACCTCAGATACACTAGTGAGTGGGGCATCCCTATCTCTAACTTGCACAGTGTTACCAAATGAAACACTTTGTCGTCTGGTCCGATTGTCTGCCATGACATGCCGATCGCTACCATCATCATGGCCATCAGCACTTCCAATTTCAACATCTAGACTTCGGAGACTCTCTCCCAGAGTGGCACCACTTTCACCACTCTCCTGGCTGACAGCCTCAGCATCCCGCACAACCTCATTCTGCTCAAATTGCATTTCAATAGAATGAGGTTGTCTGGTTGATGCATCTGTTCCCTGAATGCATGCATTTGGCTCAGGCGTTGAATCAGCAGTTTCAGAACCATTTGGCACGGAAGATGGAGGAGGTACATGCCTGTTTTCATCATTCTCATTAGTTCCTGCGGGGCGTTCAGACATTGCCCCCATTGTTCCTAGAAAGTTTGTGACATCATCCTTATTCTGAGGTTCAACTACAGTTTCCTGGTCAGAAGGCTTCTCTGGTTCCGGCCGTCTCAAATGGTTAACAACTAAATCTTCAAGACCCTGTGGAACAGAAAGCGCATTAGGCCCACCACTATGTTGGTTATGATTGGACCACATGTTCAACCGTTGACTATGGCGCCCATTTCGCAGCGACCGGAAGAACGAGTCTAGAAGAGATGTTCCCTCTTGGCTCCTGTCAGAGAAATGATCGCGAGCATTCTCTGGAAGGAGAACACGCATGAGAATGAGAGTAAAGTCATAAGATTAAACGTATAGAGCAACTAAAACTTGGCACTGTGTGTGCGTGTGTGTGGTGTGTGCACGCAGAGAGAATAAGGAGAAACCTGGTTGTCTTATACGACCCATGTGGGGCAAAGACGATGGTTCCATCAAGAGTGGATGCACCGAAGAAGTATTGTTATCACTGCTTCTTCCCAGTAAATTGTATATTGATGTAGTACGCCCAGGACGCCTAGTACCAAAAATCTCAACAGGCAACACTTGGAGAGTTTCATTAGGGAAACTAGGGTCTCTACCTAAGACTTCAATGTGGTCCAATACATTAACACCATTCATTCCATCACCAAAACGAAGTATGAGACCATCATCTTCATCCTCATCTTCTTCTTCATCTTCTTCCATCACCTCCTCATCAAACTCTTCTTCGTCAATTTCATGATCTTGATCAGTGTCATTATGGGGCAAGTGATGCACTTCATCTTCCTCGAGATCATTGTGTTCTTCCTCACCATCATCTTCATCTACATCATCTCCTTCATCTGCTGACATCTCCTCCTCATCATCATCCTCATCATCTTCATCTTCACCAAGATTGTCTTGTACATCAGGCTGAATTTCGAACCTTATCCCTACTGTGTCAATGCCACTGTCCAGAGTTCTCGTGCCCTCGTTATTCTCATTCATGTAATCATCATTTTGTAGACCAAACCCACCATCAATATCGTGATCATGTTCCATATCATCAGTCACGGCCTCAGATCCACCATAATTTTGTACAGTTCCAAAAGGAACGATATGATTTGTGGGGAGAGAGTCCATATTTGATTGGAGAGCACTCTCCATGGCCTGTATCACACTAGCACCATTTTCATTTTCATGCTGATTATGCTCATGTGTCTTTGCTGTTTGATCAACCCTTGCAGCAGTTGACTCTGCGGCATGGATGTGTTCCTTTGTAACCAATTCCAACACCTTTACAAGCCCTGTAGCAACTTTGGCTGAATCAGCATGATCAAGATCTAACAAATGAAGAGCACGAGTCAAAGACCGAACTAGACCAACATCTACAAAAGTAGCTGAAGCCTCTGCAGAGATGGAGGAGCCTGTAGGTGTGCGAGCAGCAAGAATATCATTAAGTAGGTCAATGAAAGCCATAAAATCAACACCGGGTGCCCTGAAACCCTTAGCCGATTCAACAAATCCATGGAACACAGTACTGATATCAGTAAAGATTCTCTTTCTCGCCTCTGAGGAACGAACACAAGATGCTACCAAAAACTGGCTTGCTCTGCCAGCTAGCTTCTGCCTCCAGTCCACGTCAATTTTCTTTTCCTTCCGTGAATTCTTAGAGTACGGAAGGAACTTGTGGAGAACATGGTGAAAGATACCACCAGAACCACGCTGGACACTCTTGCAGCTGATTTCAGCATCTTTCCGGAGTAAAATATGAACAGAAGGGGAGTACATCAACAGGATCTCGGTGAGGAGCTTCAAGATGAACACCATCTTTGCCATGGATGCTGAAGACTCTTTGTTGACAATGTCGCTTCCATCAGATATAGATGCAACCGCTTTTCCTTTATCCTTGCCTGCAGAAACATCAATGTCCATATCTGATGAAGATGAGCCCTCTTTAACAATAGATTCATCTTTCACAGAAGGAACAAATGCTACAACTGAATCCAAAAGTAGCTCAATGACAGTTACAAAACTATGAGGTGGCTTTCGATGAAGTTTGACATTTTTAGAACTTGTATCAACAGCCTTCCCATGAGAACTAGGGCTCGCGGTCGTTGCACCAATCTTCAAGTCATTATTTTGAAGCTTATCCTTCTCCTCCGATTTCTCCTTCTCCTTTTCTTTATCTTTTTTATCCTTCTCACGATCTTTAAGTAAGATAACATATGGCCGATCAGCAACCATCTCCACTCCGCAAACAGACCGAGCAGCCTGCATGAAAATGACAGGCTCACGCTGAATGACAGAACTTAAACTTGAGAGAAATGTGCGGGGTGTAAGCCTTCCAGCTGGCTGTCTACTACTAGCTGTTACAATGCTATGTCGTATCTCAGCTTCCATAGCTTGCTGAAGCGTTTGAGGATCTTCAAGAATGTGACGCATTATGGTAGCAGCTATGTTATCAAACCCATTGAACATGCTACTCGTTGGAAGAGAAAGCAGTTGATCCAAACCCCCAGCATCTAGAAAAATTACAGCTATGGAGTGGTTTCTTGTGAGAGTCGAACAGAGTTGCAGAGTGGCATGCATCATCTCAGATGGTAGCTGATTCCTAATACAAGCACAAGCAATTTCAATCAACTGTTTTTGCTCCTGCTGATTAAGATATTTTGGAGACAATCCTAGAGAAGAATGCAACTTAGTTTGTTTATCCTCCTCAATTGAAATAGATGTATCATAAACAACCTCCTTCTTTAAAACCTCTACCATATCAGAATTCAACTTCGGATCCACCTGGGTAAGTCGATCAATGGCAATAAAAGCTGTTGTAACCCATTTGGGGATTCTCTCCCTGTCAAAAGGACTTGAAACCCACTGGGAAAGAATATCAGACGCAACTTTAACCAAACCGTTTTTGGCAGCTACTTCTCTCGTAGCCTGGTCTTCATTAAGAATTAGAGCAAGGACATGAAAAAGATTAGACAGCATGTTTATATTCCCCGCGTCAGAAATGTTGGTGCATAGTTTCACTTGTTCAATCATAAATGAAATGACAATGGACCTATTTTCACCATCATTCTGAGAGCATATGATTACAAGAAGATCCCTAACAGGAAATGCCAAAGAGTCCTTCATGTGTAGAAGTTTTTTACATGTTGACAACAAATCGTCCATTGGAGGAGGTTGGACAAATTCTTCTTCAATTGTTTCATTGTTTTCATGTGCTACATCTTCCTTCACATCAGATCCAGAGTTCCCAAGAGACATCGCTAAGGCACGAGCAAGTTCATCATCTTCTTGAATCTCTTCCGGATGTGAGAACAACCACTCCATTGCCAGCTCCACACTATTTGAGCCAACCTGCCTAAGGGCCTCTTCAGCTCGAGACCTAGAGAATCCCATTTCTGCAATTGTTGAAATAGTTGCTTCATTTGGGGGAGGACCAGACAAACGAGTGGTAGTAGTGTTGGTGTTTTTCACTTCTACTCCAGTGTAGACATGTCTCATGATGTTTAGAATTGTAGCAATGAAATCAGGACTACATTCTGCAAATTGTGGATGAGTCCATACAGGTATTACAGCCTTAAGCACCATGGATTGAAGAACTTTCACAAATGTCTCAGCATCTCGAGGAAACTGAATACCCCCACTTATTAAAGGTTGAGTAAGTAGATGCTTTGTGAAAGGAAATAAAATCAAAGATGAGGTCACAAGGTGATCCATCAGCTTGCCATAACTACTCAAGGGACCATGTATCCATAACTTATCAACAGATTCCTTAACCCCATCCTGTCTCAAACAACTTTCATCAGTTTCCATAGGAGAAGCCGGACCTCTGTTAACAGCAAAAAGCAACTGATTAGTAGCTTCAAATGTCGTCAATACCGAATGAATTACCCCACGTCCATATAGGCAATTTAGCACAACAGGATTGCATGAATCAGGCTTGTCCAGAATAATCCCATCAATAAATTCAATCACTTTTCCAAAGTACCGGCATTTCGTTGACACACAGGCATCAACTCCAAATGTATGTGCATTGCCACCATAATTCATATGATCCAATGCAATGGAAGCAATGATTGAAGCAACCGATTTTGAAGGAGCAGAAACATTCAACAAGTCATCCCGTCTCCGAGAGGGAAGCAACATTACCTTACCCAATTCCTGAAACAAATGCATGATATGAATCGATAAGGATCTAACCATATCACAACATGAATGGTAATAGGATCTTTGCTTGTCATCATCTTTCTTTACACTACTTCCAGCACCATCAACAGAACTTGACTGTTGCAGATGATTACTTGCACCCAACAGTGTGGTTGAAGTATCTTCTACGCTCTCGCGCGACGGAAGACCAGAAGATCGTGCGAGGTCACGATATAGAGAGATGATATCAAAGAACTGGGACTCAAAACTCCACCCTGTCATCCTCCTCCTCAGCAAAGGATCGATAAGCTGTCTGAAGGAGCTCGACCTCAGTTCTTCACTTTCAACTGCTGAATTCGGTGAACCATCACCAGAACTTTCCAGGACACCATCTTCGTCCAGCTTAGCATCCTCAAGCAGTGCAATCTGCCAGAGAATTTCTCGGTGTACCTTCCCAATATCTTCTAAAACATCTTTGCTTCCGTTTCCGAATTCGTTCAGCAAAGCAGTAACCCAACGGTTGTCTTTAGATGCAGCCAGAAACAGAAGAAACTCAACAAGAAAAAGTGAAGAAAAAGTGGTCCTATCTTGATTTACTTTAGGATCCAGCAGAAAGGAGCCAGAAGCACCACTTAATCCCATCAAAGCCTTTTTCATATGATCTCTAAGGAAGGAACAACAAGCACGCGCCAGAGCAGCAGAGTGATGCTGAGTGAAGGTCTTGAAAACCATGGTGCTATGTAATGCAATAGACATGCCTTCTGAAGATTGTGCAACACTTGGCCACAGTAGGAGTTTTAACAAAGCTTCAATTCCTGATTTTTCAACAAACAGCCTACACGTTTCAGAGTTTTCCATTGTGCGGTGAACAAGTACCATTACATGAAAGATAGCCAACTGGATGAAATGTTCATCATCCAAAGCCTCAGTTGGTGAACTTGTTGCTTCAATCAGAGAGCAAGGACCAGCACTCTGAAGCTTTTCTCCGTCCATTTCCATTTCACTTCCGCCACTCACCTTCACAGATGACTCTGCTTGCTCAGACTGTTCAAAGGATGATATCTTCTTAATAGTTTCAATAATCAGATCCACACCTATACCTCTCAGTGAGGTTACATGGCGCAACAGTTCTTCTACAGAATTTGTTAATGGCTGAATACCTTCATTCATTGCAATTACATATTTTTTTTCAGTAAAGATGTCAACAAGGAAGCGCATCACTGACATTTCTTTAACAGCCTCCAGTCCCTTAGCATTAAGGCATATTGCACCAAGGCCATTAGGAACACAAGTAAGAGCTTTAGGGGAAGGCAGTACCCCGGCCACAACTGAAGACAGAAAAGAATTTGGAAGACCCAGATCATGCAATGTAGTAAAGCATGTGGGATCCTTGTGAATTATCTCACTCATGACAGTCACTGCAGAAGAGTAAATTTCACATCCTAACTTTTCAACATTGCCAAAAATCAGTGACAGTGTGATAGGCAATGAGACATCATTAGAATTATGAGATCTTGCAGAATTTGCAGGCGCATAAGTAGCAGAACCAAGTGCCTTTAATAAAGCCCTGGTGAGTCTCTTGCGGGAATGCACTTCATCATCCTTACTTCTAGAAGATTCTCCCACCTCCATTGACTTATCATCTCGTCCAGCCAGATCTATCACATTTTGCACTTCTATTTGCAGCCTATGAGCCAACAGCTCAATTCCACCCATATCTTTAAAAAGGGTCACTGCAGCATTGCTGTAGTCCAAGAGCTTTTGTAACGTCTTAACAGCCAGACAAACAAGGTGCAAATGAGCAGGATCAGAATCCTCCACTAGTGGTAAGATAGTTGGTACCATTCCAGATCCTCGAATGGCATTTCCTGAGCTTGAGGAAGATATGACATGCAACAGATAGAAATGTAAGACGGCTTCAACAAAGGCCACAGAGGATGGATCATTGGAACTTTTCAACGATAAAATTGCTCTTTGTAAAACATTTAAGAGGATCACACGATTAGCACCAGCAAAACTGATGCTTGATCCACTCAAAATTCGAGCTCGGTCGTGAGATGATGAATATGCAGCTAACTGGGCTCCAAGTGCATTCATTGCAAGTGTTCTAATTGCTCCGGAGATGGTTTCTTCTGATCGAACAATTCTGATTAATTCATTTGTGTGCTCAGGTTCATTTGCAAAAAATGATGCAAGTTCATCATAAGAATCATTAGCCTGGATAAGCACAATGAAAGCAAGGAGGCAAATCTTGCTGTAAAGCTTGCACATTCTGGATGAACTTAATGCATGTGCATATCTGATTCTGGTCAACAATGAGAATCTCTGGTCAGTAGGTACATTGTACTGCTCAATGCAAGACTTCATTAGAGAGAGGTCATCTTCTTTCCGCAAATATAGATCACTGATGTGAATTACGTTCATGGCAGAAGACACAGCATCAGTACTGTCACCAGTAGTCAGAGAGCTGCTACCATTACCATTCAATTCAAAATAAACAGTTGAGCCCAAACGATATAGCTTGTTGTCGTCAACATGTTCCACATCAGATGGAAATAAGCACAGTCCTTCATCTTGAGTTCTTTCAGTAATTGTAACATAAGAATACAAGCCCAACCCTTCTTCCTTGCTTCCCCAACCCTGTGCAAGTGATAGGAGGCAGCTATTCACCGACCCACAACCAATCAATTTCCCACTTGTGTGAAGCTTGGACGGAATTATTTTCACTGACGCTGAAAGAGTCTCAAGAGTTGCAATGAGAATTTCTGGGTCAGTAGAAGCCAGTAAGAGCCTGAAATGCTGCAGAGAAACAAGCACACATAAGCAGAGAAAATACATTAAACAACATCCACGATACATAATAGACGATACAGTGCATAAAATCAAACCTACATAATCACAACATACCTCCAACCCACTGAATGAACTCTTGTTATGGCAATTTTCTAAAATAACCAGCATCACCCGTAAAATTTGTAGAATAGCTTGTTTGGGAAATGGACTAACATCTCCAAAAATATCATCAGACAGGAGAAGGTCATTCCTACAAGACACATATGTCTTTAAGTATGTTTCAAAATGAAGAAACAACGGTCTCCAGTGATTGAAGTTCCCCTACAAACATAAAACATAGAGATTAGAGAATAGCAATAGGGACTGGTGGAGAAAATGCATTATAAGGTAAAGAAACACACCTTTCCGTACTCCCAACGAAATCCAGAAAGAGGAATTGCTATGTCATGCAACGGACATTGTATCACCTTGTCAATAAATGATTTTATTCTTGGTGGCTGCATGCAGAAGTAAAAATCAGATAAGAGGTAATGAGGGCAATGAAATAATAGCTATAATAGCAAATATCCTTTTTTACAAATGCATGGAATCAGAAGCATAAATTAAGTTTCTTTTTTGGCCAAACAAGTGGACAACACATAGAACATGAGAATTGAGAACAGAATTTTTATCATAAAAAATTAAAAAACAAAAAATAGTGCTTCAGTACACGTGATAGATGACAGCAAATATTGGAAAGAGTAAGCTCATCCAACTGGCACCCCTGGCATTTAATACATACCATGGTATGTCTTCTCCCATTTTTTCTAGGCATATAGGCTGAATAATTACTGAATAATGACGCATTATAGAAAAAAATCAAAACTTCTGGTTAAATACAAAAAGTGGTTATGAATGGTGCCTGACACAAAAAAGCTGAAGAATTGCATGAAACTAAAAATAAGTTCCAAGGAGTTCTCAAGAGATGAAACTGATTTTGATACAACTGATTCATATGTACATATTCAGGGAGCTGAAACAACAACAACCCAGTTGGATCCCACGGTAGAATGGTCTGGGGAGGGTGAGTGTACACAAACCTTGCCCCTACTCGAAAGTGAGAAGCTGAAACATTGTCAGATATTGATTTGAACAAAAAATATATGAGGTAATCATTTTTAAAAGACTGATTTAGTACGAAGAACTTTGTAGAGCACCCATGGTCTCTTTAAGATCATATTGAAGGGCTAAAAGTTACTAGCAGTAACTGAAACTCAATGAGATAAGGAGTGGATTAAAAACAAAGGGAATGCAGTTCTCCCTAAACGAAAACAGTGGGGGCTGAAATAAATGCCAAATATGAGCAAAAAATTGTAAATTCAGATGTTCAACACTGACTTGTGAATAAGGATTGGTTATTATTGTATAAATTAAGATGTTAAAAGTATATTTAAAAAAACAGCAATGCACTGCAAAAGTATTTGTCATGATTATAGTCTTGATTATTATTTCAGTTCTGTGTAATTATTTTGTACCTTGTTTTCATACAATTCAATAAACTTTCAATAGAAGGAAATGTTCAAAGGTTTTTTATCAGAAAAATTAATGCAGATTGTTATAAGTTAACATATACACCACATGCCAATTCTATTTAAGGCATCCGATAGAATCCAGGATAACTGTAAAAAAAAATCAAGTATGCATGTTGATTTATTTAAATGAAACATAGAAAGGTACCTGAAAATAACAAAGAGTGTAGAAAACTAGTGGTGTGGTACATATACAAAGTCTAGCTTAGAATTGTGTTTAAAGTTGAATGATGAGTTCATAGTTATAAAAATTTAGAATTGAGATGTCAACAACACACCACTGGCCAGTAACTTATTGAAGAAATTTCTTCTCAAGAGTTCCAAATTATCTATAAAAAAATCAAGAGTTGTGTGAAAGTTCTCTATTTTGGGATTCTACTAATTTCATGGGATCACTTGTTTCTTCTCTTTCATTATGTACCCACCATATAAAAGGCAATTTCTAATTAAGCAATAAAAAATTTTAAATTCCTAAAGATTATAATGAGAAGTCCATGGGTAGGCATTCTAAATACCTTTTCTTCTATTCATTTCCTTCTTACCAGCTTGTCATTGTTGACATGGAAAAAAACAGCTCAAAATAGGGAAATGTCCCATGTAACTACCCAAAAGAATGTTAAATACGAAAGAGGTGAGGATTTCCTTCAAGCTGGAAACTTTCAAACGTCCCAAAAATAAGAATCTAAGATGAACAAGCTTCAATGCAGCAGTATGAGAATATACATAAAACATCAAACAGAAGATAATAAATTACAAGTGTTACTCTGAGTGAACAGTATCCAAATATAGAATAAAGGCCTTAATCAGTTCACTAATAAGCAACAAAAATGTCCACAGAAGGATACAACATTTCAAACTAATATGCTACATGGAAATGGGTAAAAACACATACCGTTTCTGAGTCAAGTTTAACAGTGGGGCCGATTGAATTATTGTTAGAAAAGAGCTGCCGTAGCCTCGAAGGCAAGCTCGATCTCAGAGTCGGCATATCAAAATCCCTCCTCTTCCACTATAATTCACTGTGAAAAGCAATCTGACAAGAGGTCACCAAAAAAATAAACACAAATCGCATATTAGCATCAATCGGTGACGGGAAGAAATCCGCAAACCGTCAAAAAAAAATATAAATCAAATCGATCAGATACAGAGCCACACAAATGAATTAATCGAGCGGACCTGATTCTTTGCTTACCGGATTACCAGAAGTCGCCCGGATGCACATGCATCCAAAGGTCTGGAACTGTACAAAGAGGTTTTAGAGAGAGAAAGAGAGAGGAGAAACCCCCGGCAGTGCGAAACGAGGGTGGAATAGAAGAGAGAATGGGTTCCTTCGTTGTGGGGCAAAACGGAACTGGTTTTACCTACGGAGAGTACATTATTAACCCTGATAGGGTGCGACGAAGATGTGATTTTATACAACCCAGAGCTGCGTACAAAAAAAGGAGAGAGCCCCTATTTGCATAGCTTTCTGGAGGCGGTTTAGCTGTTTGGGCCTTTAGTCATTAGAGTATCCCGTCATTGGCCCAGATTTCTTTCTTTAGCCTCCTCCTCTCGCCTTCCTTTCCATCTCCCACATGAGATAATTAAGAATTGTGATCCCAAATCCCAATTCGATTCAAATTTTTTCTATTTTTTCAATAATGAAGAAAATAAGTATTGACGTATGATGAATATACAATAGCATCATACATCCAAATTTATATCATACAACCTCCAACGACAGATGTGGACAAAGATAAATTCTTTTTTATCCATAAAAGGTTTTTTTAAATAGAAGAATTTGTTGAAAATCAACTCCGAGTAACACCATTTTCCAGTTCTACCGTAACCATACACAAAAAAAGAATAAGTAGTATTTGAGTACATTGTTTTTAATATCATATACGTATAATTAGTTAATACACAAAAACATTTGCCCTATGATTACCGTCATAGAAAGTAATAGCACGTGTTATTGAAGATAGATCAAGTATCTTCTATCTCTTATGCACTTGAAATTGTGATAAAGTGGATGTAGAATTATTCCCAAGAAAAATGTAATGGAAATGTTAAATTTTAATTCGAATTAAAAAATTATCATTTGTCACATCACATAGTACATTCTTTCTCAAACGGGTTCAGTTATGCGAGTTATAGCCGATGACGATGTTTCTCAATCTGTATATGTAATTTCTATCATAAACAAAATAGTGTACTAATATATATTTTATGGAGAAGTACAACTTTTATTCAAACTTCTTTTATGCATGAGTTATAAATTTATTCATTAATGATATGATTATACATGATAGCTTTTTGAAAATAAAAGGTTTGATCCATAATTCCCTTTTTATGTGTATTAAAATGGAAAAATAAAACCTACTAAAAAGTTGACAACACAAAAAATTAAAAAATGACGATTAAAAAATGGTCCCTAAATGACGTTGATAATAATAATAATAATTAAAATAATAATAATACTAATAGTAGTAGTAATGGTACTAATTATAAGATTATTACTATTATTAATCTTTATATAAACTAATATTTAAAGCATTAGTTACCAATTTCGCAAAAAAATATAAAAAGATAAGAACTGTTAATGGCATGTTTACTTAATAGAGCATTAATTATTTTTCGTACATATAAAAAACATTCTAATTCAAATAAAAATTATGCTTCATTCTAGAATTAGTATTTTCCATTTAAAAATTATTATTTTCTATTAATAGCTTTCAAAAATGTTATATTTGTGTCAAAAAAATTATTATCTTTTAATAATAACTTTCTAAAATGGTAAAAGTGGGTACAATAATATCTATACTTTATTTAAAAAGAGGGGAAATCCCCATTTCGTTTTCCCGCCTAAATGGTCTTCACTCACAAATGGTAATTGCTAAACTTCAATAAGTAAGTGCTTAATGTCAATTTTCCATTAAAAGGTAATTAATTTTTTTGATTTAACACCGTGTGTAATAAATTAAACACGTGTGAAATTGATTAAGATGTAACGTGTGTAATAAAATAAAATATTGAAACCATAAGTAACACCAAAAAGGTGTATAATAAAATACAATGTTGAAATAATAAGAAACACAAAAAACGTAATTTATATTTATAAATTAAGATGTAATTAAAAACACAGAAATGGTAATTAACACCAAAAAAGTATATAATAAAATAAAATCTTGAAATGGTAAGTAACACAAAAAACGAAATTAATATTTACAAATTAAGATGTAACCTGTGTATACAAATGTATTTAAAGGTATTTTATATGTATGATACTGTGTTAGAAAAAAATTAATTAACACGGTGCCGTGTTTCATTTTAATTCCATACATATTTTAAATAAAAAGGTTTTAAATCAAATAATTTTCTTACTATTAGCCTATATATTTGTATATATTATTTAATGTATCTCCATGTACGGGCCAAGTCCAATAGCATTGCTAGCATAGCCCTAGTCACTTGTATTTATACGTTACGCATTCTCAGGGAAAACGCATCAATGTTTTTCCCATATTTTCTACATGGTATCAGAGCCAATTCCTCGGGACTCTCAAAAACCCTAGGCTTGTGTATTTCTTCTCAACGGCGTCAATGCCGTCTGGTCACCTCACGTCGGCCGCTGCACATCAACTTACGTTGGTGTCCTTCCTCCCGCTCGCTGCCTCACGTCGGCTGAGCTTTGTTCCTGCCAAGTCATCCGCTGCCACGTCCAACCCCTCTTCAATATGTCTACCGAGGCCACAAAAAAGGTTCATCTGATTCATGATCCCACATCATTATACTATATTCACCCATCCGAGAGTGTGGGAACTCTTTGACGAAGCATGTCCTCAAGGGAGACAATTATGATGTTTGGAGAAAATGATTGTTAATGCGTTGGAGGGACGTAGCCGCGTAGGTTTCTTGAGCCCGATTGGTTTCCCAAAGCCAACCGATGAACAAGAACTTGCGGCATGGAAAGATAATAACTCCATTATTTGTTCTTGGATATGTAATAGTGTTGACGAACATATCCAACCATCCATCATCTCTCACAAAGTCTGCAGGAATTATGGACGGATCTGAAGACTCGTTATGGGGGGTCGAATGGTCCTCGTATCCATCAATTGAAGTATAAACTACGACCCCCCTGACAAAAAGGTCAGACTGTGGTGGTTATTATAACTAATTTGTGACTTTGTGGAATTTCCTTTATGGGTCGGCCGATCCTATGTGTGGGTGTCGTTGCAAAGCTGCTGCTCTACTTCGGGAACACCATGAACAAGAGAAATCCCACCATTTTTTGCTAGGCCTTGATGATGAGCAGTTTGGCCACCTTTGATCTCAACTTATTGCAATCGAACCTGTCTGTCGATATTTATTGGTTTATGCGCTGATTTCTCAAGAGGATCGTCATAAAAGCATTATTTGTAGCCGCGACGATCGGACTGGTGTCCTAGCCTTTGCCATCCAGTGCCCTAACATGGCAGTAAGACATGGGGATCCTCCTCATTACACTTGCACGCATTGTTTTAAGGATGGCAATTTGGTTGACCGTTGCTACCAACTGCACGAGTATCCTCCGGGAAAAATGACGCGGTGGAGGACGAGTGTGACACCCAAATTATTTTACTTTTAATATTATAAACTGTTTTGTGCTTGAACCCACCGATGTTGCACTTTCATGTTTAAAACTTAACATTATTTCCTTTTATTGCTTCCGCAACAAAACATCTCTTTAAAGACAATTAAATTCCCAACGGTTTTATCTATTTAAATATATCAAGGGTTTTCCATTTTACAAAAGTAATTCAAGGAGTTTTCTGTAGATGCTCATAACAACCGTCTACGTAACCCCTCCGGCTCGTTGGGTTGCGGTGAACTGGGTTCGCAGGACGGAGGGTGTTACCTTTTGGTCTCAAAGAATTTGGTTTTAAAAACGATTTTGAAACCCAATTTGAAAACATTTCCTTTAGGATCTACCGTCGCATCCTGCTTCGCATCTCCAACGGGAAGGCAACCGTTGTCATTTTAGTTATTATTACTTAACCCTTATAGAAAATCTCCTTTCAGAAAGGAGATGAGTCAAGCTCACGAGCACGAACAAGCTGGTCCCAGGTAGAGCAGGAGCACGTAAGCGTGCATACGGAAGCGTCAAGCTTCACACCTCAGCAGCAGGTTCCGAAGCCAGGTTCCGCAACCGATAGCTGCACCTCAGGCGATTCCTATTCTACAGCCGCAGCTGGCGGCCAACATGCTCAACCTCCTCCAGCACATGGCGGGGGCGTACGTACCACCGCCGCCGCCACTGCCTCCAGTGGTTGTGGTCACTATTGAGAAGCTGAAGAAGAACGGAGCAGAGGAGTTACGTGGCGATCAGATCACCGATCCCATGGTGGTTAAGCGCTGGCTCGAGCGCATAGGTCAAATTATTGGAACGTTACAGGTTCCAATGGAGCAGCGGGGTGATCTAGCCATCGCCCTACTCCAAGATGTCGCCTACGACTGGTGGAAATGCGCGAGAGCGAACGTCCCAGAGCCCGTTCCGTGGGCGACTTTTGATGAGATTTTCCGCAAGGAGTACGTGCCCGAGCACTTTATGAGAAAGAAGCAAGACGAGTTCATAACGTTCACCCAGGGTGAACTTACGCTTCCCGAGTGTCAGCAGAAGTTTGATGAGGTAGCCGAGTTTGGCCGAGACCTGGTACCAACAATGAAGAATCGGTGCACGTGCTTCATGGAGGGACTATGCCCTGACCTGTCTCCTGGGTTGGTCTTTGCGCCCAAGCACGACATCAACGCCATGTATAAGCAGGCGTTGGAGCTTAATGCAGCCCTACTCAAGAAGGACGAATATGAGCAGGCCCAGACGACACTTCCTCGTCCACCTCCACCACCTAGGCCCAGTCTGAGCAGCAAGAGGCTTCTCTCCGTTCCGAGCAGCTCGCACACGAGTAAGAAGGCCAAGTCGACACCTACCTCGTCACCAGCACCCACACAGGAGAGTGGGAAGAGCCAGAGCCAGGGTGGATACCGGTACTCGATCTGCACCCTCTACGGTCGAAGGTACCCCGGCCGGTGAGTGTTGGTTTACTCAAGGCCTATGCCTTGGGTGTGGACAGGCTGGGCATTTTCGTAGGGATTGCCTGACGAACCTTGGCGAGGCATTTTTGACAGCACCTGTAGCAGCAGCTCCAACCGCCCAGCCCGCTCCGAGCCAAAAGTCGGTAGCAGCGTCCAGCCAGCCTAAAAGGCTAGCGCAGAGCGCTCAGTCTAGGGAGGCATCAGCTCGCACATATGCAATGCATGGACGCATTGAGCAGCCCGCTCATGACATGATTATGAGTATGTTCACATTATTCGATACTTCCATATATGCTTGAATTGACCCAAGATCTACCTTGTTGAATTTGTTTACATCTATTCCTGTTTTGTCGGATATTCCGAAAGAGAACCTAGAGAATTCTGTGATTGTGTCCAATCCATTAGGACATAGTCTACGTCCCAGTCATACGTATTCTAATTTCTCGTTAGTCGTGCAAGGGAAGAGTTTTCCCTGCGAATATGATTGAGCCACCACAGAAGCTGAGCAAGATTCACAACGTATTTCACGTGTCTATGCTTTGAAGATATCAGTTAGACCCCTCTCACGTGATCCCACCAAATACCATTACTCTCGGTGAGCATCTCACGTACGAAGAGGACCCAGTTGAGATCTTGCTCGCGAGATCCGATAGTTAAGGCAAGACCACCGCGTTAGTCAAAGTTTGTTGGGGAAGTCACTCCGTCGAGGCCAGGAGGCGACTTGGGAAATTGAAGAATCCATGCGCACGCGTTACCCACATATCTTCGGTGACCAATGACTAGGTAAATTTCGAGGATGAAATTTTCTTAAGGGGCGGATAACTGTAACGCCTTGAGACCCGATCGATTAGAACTTGTTAATTTAATTAATTAATTAATTACTAACTCGGACCGGGGTTGGAAAGAATAAAGTCTTCAAAAAAAATTATTTGATCACGCCATAATATTCGTTTTGACCGTCTGGTTTCAGGAACATAAACGGATCTCGATTTAGACCTGTTCGGGGGGGAAGCGCGTACTGTTCAGGTCAGACTTTACACAATAGAGTAAAATTTAGGGAGGTAACTCCCACTTCAATTCTCATGCCACACACACCCCTCATCTCCCCAATTAATTCATCATTCATTTCACCATTATAATCCTATTAATATAAGAAATCCTCTCCTCTCTCTTCCTCCACCATTTGTAACTCCCACTCCCTAACACCCTCAATACTCTCTCTCCCTTTGGATTTTCGGTCAGGAGCTAGGCAAGGGAGGCACTCCGGCGTGTAGACGAGGAAGAAGGAAGAAGGGAAGGAGGTCTACGCGATAAGTCGTTCGACGTTCGTTCGTTCATCGTCATCCATTCGTTCATCCCATTTTCCGTTTTAGCAACCCCTTCGTTTAGAGGTGAGCATGTTGCCCTCTAACTTTTCGATTACGAACTTGTTAATGTAGACATTTTGAAACCATGTAAATTCATAGACTTCTTTACGTAAAAACATAAAATGGTTATTTCAAATTCCCAACGTTTCGATCACAATTAGACAGACAAAATGGGAACCCGCGTGCTCTGATAATCGACTAACAGGACATGTCAATCGATTTTCAGGCCATGCTGGACTTCTTGTTGAATCAGCAAAGTGTGACAATCGATTATCACATAGGTGATAATCGATTATCACACCCTGCGCATTCCAAAGTCAGAGCTGGTTCCACTTGATAATCAATTATCATAGAGCAATAATCGAGTATCAGTCTGAACTTGGACTCCTGGACAGACCAACCTGACAATCGATTGCCCCAAAGAGACAATTGATTATCAGAGGCTGCAGAACCTTGGGATAGGAACTGCGATGCTTGATAATCGATTATCATCTATGAATAATTGATTGTCAGCCAGTTCTGAACCCAGGTCCATCATGTTGAAAAACAAAGCATTTTGGAAGAAAACTAATACGGAATCAAACATATATGTATGCGTTGAACTCAACTTTCTTTCAAGCTATTCATTCATTTCATCATGTACATCCTAAACGCATGTTTTAGGATCATGGCATACTTTGCATATCGCGACAAGAGGTCAAGCCTAGTGCACCTCTTCTGTGGGCTCGTCCCATAGCCTTCACGATCCAATGGGTTTCATCAGGAGGGCTTGTGTACTACATGGTAACTAGGCATTCAGTTACCACCCACAGTTTCTAGGCTCCTTTTGGAGACTAAGGCGTTCCTCAGCTAATCACCGTGTGGGGATGATCACCAAAGGGTAGGTGGTCCTTGCGCAGTCTAACTCATGCATCATGGATTATTTGGCATTGCATTTTTCTTTTATTTCAACTTTATTTTATGAAAATTGTATGTGGTATCTCGTTCTTTATTACAGGTATGATTATGTTTATATCAATGTGAATTGTACTATGCGTTTTACTATCAGATTACCACTCAGCTTATGCTGAGCGTCTAGCGTTGTTTTTGCTATACGCAGGTAGGAGAGATGATCATGGAGCCCGACCCGGATGATTGAGAGATTGGGGTGGTGGATAGACGACAGTGTGGACCTGACTTATTTTCCTTTTAATATTATGAACTGCTTTGGGCTTGAACCCACCGTTGTTGCACTTTCTTGTTTAAGACTTAACATTATTTCCTTTTATTGCTTCCGCAACGAAACGTCTCTTAAAAGGCAATTAAATTCCCAATGGTTTTATCTATTTAAATATATCAAGGGTTTTTCATTTTACAAAAGTAATTCAAGGAGTTTTCTGTATATGGTCCTAAAAACCGTCTATGTAACCCCTCCAGCTCGTTGGGTCGCGGTGAACCGGGTTTGCGGGACAGAGGGTGTTATATTTTGGTATCAAAGAATTTGGTTTTAAAAACAATTTTGAAACCCAATTTGAAAACATTTCCTTTAGGATCCACCATCGCATCCCGCTTCGCATCTCCACCGAGAAGGTAACCGTTGTCATTTTAATTATTATTACTTAACCCTTATAGAAAATTTCCTTTGAGAAAGGAGATGAGTCAAGCTCCCGAGCACGGACAAGCTGGTCCTCAGGGAGAGCAGGAGCACCAACGAAGTACATGAAAGTAACCCCTTTTATGTACGGATTAGGGTATGTACGGATTAGGGTGTTACAAGGTATGAGAAGTGTAACCTTGTTAGAGTTAAATCATTGGTTCACTGATTCTCAGATTGACTTGTGTATAACTATTTTCCGAGCACGTAACCCCTCCGGCTCATAAATTACATGAATTTAAAAAAGTACACGAGATAGTTACATAAAATATGAAATACATGAAAGAAAAATATAATACCTGTAACACTAATTTGAATTTTGATTTTTCCAAAGACATAAGAAGGGAATGCGTTAAAAAATAGAGATAAATAGAAGAGAGAAGAGAGTGTGGGGGTTCAAAATTTAAAATTTGAATTTTGAATTTTAAAAGTAATTTTTATTTTTTATTTATTCAAAAAAATGTTGGGGGGAGGCGGAAACCAAAGAAAGAAAAAAGAAAACACGGTGTGACCGTTGCCATGGTCTTTTACTCGCGGGCAGATTCACGCAGGTGCGGGGAGGTGTTTCGCGTGGTTACGGTGTAACGTGGCATTGCCACTTCGGACCACGCGCGGGGCATTACGCCCAGTCTGACGGTCTCTCTAGCAAAACTCTTTCACATCTATATATAACAAATCAATTCCAAAAATACTTTCAAATGAGCATTAACATAAATAATAACCTTACTTATCGAGTTACACCCCAACAAAGTTAGAGATCAAATTTGAGTGTTCCAATCATACACATAAACCAACTATGAGCCTCTATAGTCCAAGATGAGCTCCTTCTCGTTTGAGTTCTATGATCAATGTCAAGAGTAGTAGAGGGATCAGAATTGATGGTCTATTTGGTGAGAAAAAGAAACGAGTTTTGATATCTAGGATACAAAATTTCAAAAATAAACGTTTAGTGAAACAGTAACACTATATTTGATTCAAGAAATTTGGAAAGAAAATTGCTCTCATTTTCCTCACAGAAATGAGAGGAATTTGGTTTTTCATCTACTTAGTACATTTTGCCTTCTCTTTTTCTTTCCTTCCATTTTTCCTTTTTGTCTCTAACTAAACAAGAAAAAATGTTTCCCATTTTATTTTATTTTCTTTTTCCTTTCAAATTCATTGAACCAAACAAGGTGTAAAAGAATTTGAAATTGAAATGTGGAGGGAAACTTCCAAAAAAGACCATTTTCCATATCCTACATTTCACCGTTATCAACATAAATCATCAGCTACTTCTCTTCCATTCCACCCATGTTTTCTCCTTTTCTCTCACATCTCTTCTCATATTTTTCTTTTCACCTTTTTGTGATTTTCTTTGTATTTTTCACTATATATGATTTTAATTAGGTTACACTATGAATTTGTTGAAAGTTCTAGCATTTATTGCCTAGATAAAATCTTCATTTTTTCATCCGCGCGTTGCTACTTCAATTGTTCACTAACACTATGTTTGGTGTGGTTCAAAGAATTTGAGAGGGAAAGAAAAAGAAAATGAGATGGAAAACATTTTTTTGTTTAGTTAGAGAGGAAAAGAAAAGAAAAGTTGAAGGAAAAGAAAAAAGAGAAGACAATATGTACTAAGAGGCAGAAAAACCAAATTCCTCCCATTTTGGTGAGGAAAATGAGGGAAATATATTTTCAGCATTAATCTCAATTATTATCAAGTTGTTATCATATGATTTTTTTTGGAATTTGGAAATGAAAAGGGCATTTGTCAATTTGTTGAAACTTGATGATTTTGTTTTATTTATCAAAAAAATAGATAAATAAATGTTCAGATAATCTTTATCCTTTATATATAAATTTGAGAGTTAAACTCTTAGAATTGCGATATGTGGTTAGTCCACTTGGCAAACTTTTAACATTTCATCCGTTACCTATTAGTGACTTAATGATGTGGTAATTTTAAACAAAATATATAGTATATTCTTTATACAAGGAGAGCCACTAAACTTTTTTTTTTAGAATCTTTATCTTTATATATCTTTATATATTAAGTTTGAGAGTTGGCTTTTAGAATTGTGACATGTGTCACGCTTATTGGATTTGTAACGCCCCAAAACATACACTAAAATTATTAATGAATAATTATTCAATTAATCAAATTTGTTTTGATTAAACTAGATTGCTGTTGGGCTTTGGGCCGAAATAAGATATGTTTTGATATCCAATATCACAATCTGGATAAATCTCATAAAAATAAATCCAATATGTTGACTATTTATGTGGTCTTGATTGGGAACCTAAGTACAGACCCAAATCAAGAATAAATGAAGAAATTATTTATGAAGTGAACTTTAAAATGATTTATTGAAATAAATCATGAGAATAATTAAAATGAATTAAATATGAGAACCTTTTTGAATAAAAATCAACTGAATCAATTTAGACTCTGTCAAAGTCAAACACCCAAAAATTTGATGTCGAAAAAAGTATTACAAATAAATATAAAAATTATATCGTTGGATAGAGTTTCACTGTTGGATCGCAACAGTGTAAACGGATTTCAATTCGGAGAACGTTAGACCAAAAAGTGTATTCCGACTAGAACCAAAATTGGTCCCAATCAGAGACACTGTGGAGACGGCGACTCCCAGCACACTAGAAAATTTCCTACGCAGACCACTTGTCTCCTTCTTCTTCACATTTCCTATATAAGGAAGGAGAACCAACTTCCATTTTTGCACCAAAACTTAGTATGTTTAGAATCATTGTGTTCCTTGTTGAGTGGAGTGTTCATTGGTGCTATCAATTTGGTGAGAGATTGCCGGAGTTGGGGATATTCATCGCCGTAAGTTTCACCGGAAAATTTCCAAATCCTTCGTTGAGTTACGAGGTAAGCCTGTAGATATATCTAGTGATTAGAATGTTCATATAGATCGTTTCTACGTTCATAAATGGTCGTTTGGTTGAGTTTTGTGTTTGACATGTTTGAAGAACCAAGAATCATAAACACTGAAATTATTGTTAGAACTATGAATTAATGATATCAAAATGATCTATGAACCTTGGAGAATGAAATTATGATTTGGTCTTAGACTAAGATTAGTTAAGAGCGTTGTTATTATTTGGTCTTAGATTAAGAATAATTTAAGAGCACTGTCGAAATAATATCTTAATTGAATAAGATGAGTTGATATGAGCTGAACAATATCAAAACTAGGAATGTCTGAAATGAACACTGTATGCATGATATCAAATGATTTGATTATGAATTTAGATTCAGTTTATATGGATGTTCGACGCATTAGATATGCTTACTCAGCTTTACCGCTAAGCGTGTAGTGTGTTTTATTTGCTACACGCAGGTAAACAGAAAGAACAATGTGATCCATGTAGCAGATGGGGCAAGATTGTCGGAATAGATGTGACAAGTTTTGAAATGAATTATGATATGTCAATATATTAAATTCGCTTCCGCAATATTGTTAAATACTCCGTACTGTATATGTTATGAAAAATACAATTGTGATAAATAAAAGTGTTTGAAAAGTTTTAAATTTTTACGATTATCAAGTTAATACTTTAGTCCAAAAGGGGCTGCAGACCTGGACGGATTAGGGTGTTACAGGACTATTTTTTACATGCCAGCAACCATGTCGATCGGTCATCAAACAATGACCAGAACTTTTATTATTGTATTCTTTCAGATTTCCATCGATCTTCCGATTTTTTCATGCAGAATTAACTTCACCCGAACATTCCTTATTGTATTCTTTTTAATAAATGATAATCAAATACTATTTTATTAAAAATGAAATAAAAATGTTGATATTTAAATATTTTTAAAACTTAAAAATGTATACTATGTATATTAAAAGGCAAAAAATAGTATAAACGGATAAATAATGCATTTTTATTATGACAATTAATGTTATACCATTTATATTTCAATTGTGAAAAATAACTAAAATTAACTTTTTACATATAAATACCATTGTATCAACTTTTACCATTTTAGAAAGTTATTAATGGAGGATAGTAATTTTTGACAAAGCTATTAATGAAAAATAGTAACTTTAAATTTAAAATAGAACATAATTACTATTAGGGGATAAAACTTAATCGTTGTTTTTTAATTATTATTGTGGTCATATTGTAAACTGTATACGTTGGATAATCAAAGTTGGAGATAGAAAGCTTGGGCAAGTAATTGATGGAACAACTGGCGTTGAAATTCCAATCGTATTCTTGATTATAGACACAAATTATCCCCTCAAAAGTATAGTCAACTTCACTTATCTAAACCTATTGGATAATCTGAGAAGTTATTCTTTTTTCAAGGATAGGGCACTACTGCACCCATGTTTGAGTTTGTAGAAATAGTAAATGAATTTTTCATATCCCTCATTCTCGGAGATGAAATGGTGTATTCAAATTCTGATTCTTCATGCCAAGCAGATTTAAATGTAAGTGTTGATGACGATTAGATAACAGTTGAGTTTTTTTAATGAAATCAAATGTTCGAATATGCCAAACCACAAAACATTTTTAAAAAGGGGTATCAAAATAGTCTGAATAGCTGCAAATTTTGATATGATGTTACACAAATTTTCGAAACCCTAGCTTGTAGCTTGGATTTTGATTAGATTATTTCTTTTAGAAACCCGATCTGTTTAATTAATGTCAAACAAATAATTGATAACTAGAGAGAAAAACAAATTGTTAAACAATAAAAAAGACCATACCTTGAAGATGGAGTGAAGGATTGACGGTGATGAAGATGAAGAAGATGAGACGAGTTCATGCGGAAGAAGAGGAGTCAGCAAAATCCCAGAGCTTTTGATAGGATTTAGAACTTGGATTTGTATTTATACCCAAGGCATGAAAATCCATCAAAATTCACATTATTAAAAATCTTTAAAAATCTATCAAGTTTTGAATATCACCATATTTAAAAGGATTTTTTAAAATCTGAATTGAATATACCAAGATTTTTAATGCCTTTTCAAATTCTGAATTGAATATCTACAAATTTTTCTGAATCCAAAAAATATATTAGAATCTTGATTGAATACACACGCTAAAACTTCCAAAAAGGCCATTTTCCATATCCTAGAAATTTCACCGATATCAACTTAAATCATCGGCTACTCTCTTCCATTCCACCCATGTCTCTCCTTTTCTCTCATATCTCTTCTCATATTTTTCTTTCACTTTTTTGTCATTGTCTTTGTATTTTTTCACTACGATTTTAATTAGGTTTCATTGTGAATTTGTTGAAAGTTCCAGCATTATTGCTAAGATAAAATCTTCTTTTTTTCATCCGTGCATTTTTATTTCAATTGTTCACTGCATTTTATCAAGTTTTTTCAGCACTAATTTCAATTATTATCAAGTTATTATCATATCAATTAGTATTTGTTGGGTAAATTTAAGTAATGGTACCTGAACTGTCACAAAAATTTCAAAGTGGTACATAAACTTTAAACCCTTTCACAAAAATACCTGAACTTACATAATTCATTCACTAGAAGTTCATTTACCCGTTTCCAGGTTAATTGTCGGTTACCATCCGACGTGGATGCTGATTGGGATGCTGAATCACTTACCTACCTCACTCTCTTTCCTCATTAACTGCTCTGTCACCAAATATTTGAATCGTCTCATCGGCGAAAAAACCAACGCGCCACAAATTGTAGTGGAAAAGGTCATCTTTGAAGGTGGTTTTCATTTTGAATCTGCTGTCACTCTGAATCTCGTTTTTATTTTGAATCTGCTGTCACTCTGAATCTCTTCTTCTCCACTAATTCACATTGAAATTTCGATTAGAATAAAGATGATTGAGGGCGAACCTCACAACGTCAAAACACGAAGTTTCAACCATTTGAAGTATTTGCATGTGTTTGATTTTGAATAGGATGAATGTTTGAATCATCCGAAGATATTTATTTTGTGTTTTTTCAATTTAGTGGAGATATTAAAGAGATGAGGGATTTTTATGAGAGTGAAGGGAGTTCAGATATTGAAGAGAGTAGTCAATAGAGCAGTGAAAAGAGCAGTGAGAGTGAAGAGAATTCACACACACACACAAAGAGAGAGACACAAATATATATATATATATATATATATATATATATATGTATGTATGTATGTATGTATGTATGTATGTATGTATGTATATGTATAAAAGAAGTTGCCATCAGAGAACAACAACTCAGTTAAATCCCACAAGAGTAGGGTCTTGGGAGGGTGTGTGTACGCAGACCTTGCCCCTACTCGAAAGTAGAGAGGTTGTTTCCAAAGAGACCCCCAGCTCAACGTCGAAAGTTGCATTGCTTGACTAACTACTACTTCATTAATTAAAGAAGCGCAGACAGTTTAGAGATCCATTTTGATTTATTCAATCACACTCCAAAGCCAAAAAATGGTGAAATTTTGGCTCCATCGGAGATGATGGTGAATTTGCCATCAGAATTGATATTATTACATGATTCATACTTTCGGATCCAAATTAACAGTATCAAATAAGAGTTGTTTCCACTTATTAAACATGAAAATGCATCGCATCAATCTTACACGGTCAACGTGAAACAAATTGTAATGCTATTAAAGGTTCTATACATTGTGATATGTTGTTCTTCGGGACTCAAATCTCGCCATGTGTATTAGACTTCAGATCCTGCATATACAACAAAACACAACCAAAGTAAGGTTACTTTTACCAGAATGGTCGCATTCCAGGCCGGAGAAAGGAAAGGGCGGTTGCCTTCTATGAAGCATAAAACTGAATGTGCTTAAAGATTTGTGAACAAAGATGAATAACTGAACTGATCAAAAAATCTTTAGTATGGTGCACCGGTCTGCGTTTCTATATTATTAATTAATATCTCTACCTTGGCTCTGGTGGGTTCAGTCAATGCTTGTATTTCATTGTTTCCTTCTCAAAACCAATAGTGGCAAACTGTTTTGCGTACTCTTCAACCTCAGACCGGAGCTTTTCTATCTCAGATTGAACACCAGAATTTGAGTTCATAGTTGCCACAAAGTCCTTCAGCTTTGTTCCTAGGGAAACCAAGTTGCCTTTTAACCATACAATTGAATCACTCTTAAAATGCTCAACAACTTATATATATAAAAGTGAAGGGCAATCTAAACCTTCTGTCTTTGCCTTTATCTCGAGTGCCAACTTAACAGAAGCATCAAAGAACTCGGCCACTTTAACAAAATCCTCCTCGACAAATCCTCTAGATGTGAGAGCCGGAGTGCCTGCATTTTTAGATTAGATGGAGGTTATTTGGCTGAAAATGCCAAATCTATTCAATTCTCAAAGTGGTAAAGAAATTTGGTAACATCCATGTCAGAAAATTAAGCAACTTATTAAAAAGCTGCTTATTGATACTTGAGATTAAGAGAAACTTTGAGAAGATCATTACGGTCTAGAGAAGTGATTTACCCATACGAATCCCACCAGGCACCATGGCAGACACATCACCAGGAACTGTGTTCTTATTAGCGGCTATGTGCACCGATTCTAAAACCTTTTCCGCTCGGGAGCCATCAATCCCCTGCAAGTGCAAGAGGTCACAATACACTCAAATGCTTAGCAATGAAATCAATAACCCGTTTCAGCCCCATGGAGGGGGGGGATCCTACCTTATTTTTTAAGTTTACCAAGACCAAATGATTGTCAGTCCCGCCAGATACAAGATCATACCCTCTATCTAACAAACTCTGCCAGCACAATACATGTTATTTTCATGACAAGCAAACTCAAAAGTCAAAACTATTACACCGCAGCAGCAAAAAAGAGGTGCAAGGACGTAATTTTCACCTCAGCAAACTTAGAGCAATTACGGAGAACTTGCTCCTGATAAGCTTTGTATTCAGGTGCCATAGCCTACACCCAGAGATCCAAAACGTTTCAGAATGGAATAATTTATGTAGTAAATATTACTTAGACGGTTAGACTTCAAAACGAAAAATATAAACCATATTGAGTCAAAAAATTGATATAATGTTTTAAAAAGGTAAAAAATTACTTGTTTGAGAGCAACCGCTAAGGCTGTAATTGTGTGATTGTGTGGACCACCTTGAAGTCCAGGAAACACAGCTTGATTAATTTTGTCTTCAAAGTCATACATAACCTGTAGTATTCAACCAAAAACAAATATTCCTAATCATACATTCCAAGCATTATACAAACCAACCCCGTTTTTTTCCTAATCAAGTTTAGTCATTCAATGGTCAAAAGTAGAAAATGAAAATCAAAGAAAGAAAAAGAGGTGTCTTCCAGATTAAAAGACTGAAGTAAAAGATATGTGTCCAAATGTGCATGACTTATATGTTTGAATTAATGCCTGGTATTATAAACAAGTTGTTTATTCTATAGAGTAGTGTGTAAAGTATTCTTACATCATTCTAATTATTAATTTGGGTCGAACACCACTCCAAAAATATCCTCAAGAGGTTTGATTACCTTTATAAATCAGACCATGCTCTCACAACCCATCAATGTGGGATATTATAATCACAAATCCCTCGCTGGACAAGTAATGGGAGACCCCACACTGTGCAAATGACAGACGGATCCCAAATCATGCAGACAACAAATGAACAGATCCCAAATTGTGTAAACAACAAATGGGTAGACTCTCTTACCATGTTAATGATCCACCTCATCCATCTCAACCAAAGGTGTAAATTGATAGTCGGAGGCAGTGGAAAGGTTTTATATTCTAAAACTAAATAACAGTAAACCCAGTAACATCCCACAAAGTGGGTCTGGGGAGGATAAACATGCGCAGACCTTACCCTTACCTGGAGAACAGAGAGGTTTCAAAGACACCTCTGGCTCAAAACAAAATGAACACAAAGTAATGAAAGAAAAAATTTGTAGAGTAAATAAAAGGGAGGGGAGCACAAAGAAAGCAGGCACACATAGATATAATAAACTAAGACAGCAAATCGAACATAAAGGAAGCGCACTGCCCAGAGCCTACCTACCACCCTAATCCTCAACCTCCATGCACTCGTATCTAATGTCATATCATCGGCTAGAGACGTAAGTCTTGTCTAGTCACCTCACACCAACTCTTTAAAAGTTTTCCTCTACCCCTCATGCCCCTACTTTATGCCACTAAAACTACAGATGTCATATATGCGATGTAATTGTATCAACTTAGGTGTAGTAGACTAGTAGTTCACTATGAATATAACTATGAAATGTTTTTGAGAATTGAGATGTGAGATACCGAATACATTATTTTATTGTAATGAATAATGTTTTTTTCATCATGAATGGTAACTATTTCTGACCAGTTTTATTATCAAGTGGTGGTCCAATTCTTTTTAAGCCTACAACCATACCTACCTCCTCATCGCGACTCACAACTGAAAACATCACCACCATTATAGGCATACTCATCTCCCCTCAATTCTGGAACATTTGATCACTGCTCAACACTCCTATTGGCCTTTGGTTTCTCTACTTTTGTGATTGTTCTGTGTGGCAAGAGCGTATCACTGCTACTAAAAGAAAAGTTCTATAAAGCCTTGGTGCATCATATGGGATCCAATGCAGGTGGATAAAGACCACACACGTCCAGACGATGAGAGTAGCGGAAATAAGGACGCTTAGAGGGATGTATGGCCACACTCGGAGGGATAGAGTTAGTATTACACCTCGCAATTGGTCATTTGGTAAAAGTTCGGATCAGGTCAATTTTTGGGTCAAGTTAAGTTTTGAGTCAACAATATTTGGGTCAGTTTGGGTGATTTTGGGTCGCTTGATTTTTGGTGTAGTAAGCTTGTCTCTTAAAGAAAAATAAAATTCATAAAAAAAAGTGTGGGGTTTTTCGATCCAGGTCATCTTTGGTTCGAGTTTACTTTCGGTTATGACTATTTGGATTGGGTAGTAATTTGAGTTGACCAAGGATACATGGGACGTGGTGGGGGTCGCTTATGTCGAAGATAAGATATATGAATCGAGGTTATGGTGGGTTCAAGCACGGGCAGATAAGGAGCATTGATGCCCCTGTACAAGGCAGTGCAAGAAGTCAGCAGTTTTGGGGAGAGATAGAGGAAGATCGAAAAAGAGCAAGAGTGATTAGATATGATTTGTTCCCTATACAGCTTACCAGGTAGATAGAGGTGTTTGGAGGTCAAGGGTTAAAGTCGTAGTGTGGCAAGAATGTTTGGTATCTTAGGTTCTTCTAGGGAACTAGGTATAGTAGGGCACCTTTAATGGTTTATTTACTATTTCTCTCTATAGTATATGTTCCATCTTTACTTTCATATCTTTATCTGTGATTGTTCTAGCATATTTCTGTTAGGGGTTGTTTGGCAACTTCTGAATAGGTAAGTGCTGAACGAGTAAGAGGTCTGAACCATTAAGTGCTGAACCAGTAAGAGGTCTGAACCATTAAGAGTTAGTATATTGCTTAACTATTTAGAGGCAAATGTCTGATCAATTCAGATAAGAGGTCTTAACCATTCAGACTCTGTATAATACTTAACCATTCAGAGGCAAATCTCTTAACCATTCAGACATCTGAACCATTAAGAGGCTGAAACAAACAGCCCCTTAGTTTTCTTGAGCCGGGGCTTTTTATGATGCATCAAAAGAACTCCAAGAAAGGGACTACTCTATAAAGTCACGGGGCATAATAATATTGTAGGCCATTGTGATGCGGATTATGCGGGGTGCCCAATTGATAGTAGACCCACTTCTGGGTACTGTATCCTAATTTGTAAAAATAAACTCTTAAAAAAGTTTTTTTTAAACAAGATGTAGTTGTAAGATCAAGTGTCAAAGACCATGCAACAGATCTTGAGACATGTGAAATCTTGTGGTTGAAGACTATTTTCCAGAAAATAAAATACAAAAGCAAAAGATCATTACTATTACCGTGTGACAACAAAGCATCAATACCTTATACACATAGTCTCAATACCAGTATAACATGACAGAATTAAACACAGTGAAGTTAATAGTTACTTTGTTCGACAAAAAAATGTTGCTACCATAACACATAAGATCAATTTGCACATAAGAGCACTGAGAAGTTGTACAAACCTAGAATAGGGTATATAGGTAACAAGCTTGGTGCATATGGTCTATATGTTTCGGCTTAAGAATAATGAAATTTAAAAGTGCTATGAAATGAATAAATGATGTTCAGACGATGAAAGGGAGTGTTAAGTACTCCTACACCAAAGCTTATCACGCCAAAAAAAGGTCTAGACATATATTCATATACTCCGTATTAAATAAAACTAATAAAAAATTATCACAATGATAAGTAGATACCAATCTAATATCCTACAAGTGCAAAAAAAACCACAAGTTCATGTAACCAACAAATTTAAATATCTAGAGGGTACTGCAAGTTTTCAACCATCAATTATTAAGATTCAAAATTATGTCACTCATGTGCCCCTCTTCCATACTAGTCTCATGAATAGGAGCATGTGGTATTTAGTCCATAATCATAATCAACTTCATCATCATTCGGAAAATGATCATCTTCATTTTCTAATTCATCATCTACCAATCCTAATAAAGAATTTTAACCAGCACGGTGGTGGAAAATCAGCAACACAAGACAAGGTTTGCTAACTGTTATGTTCTCGCTCTAATTCTCAAAAAAGTTTGCACAAATATACAACTTCCAATGCCTCCCTTTTTCAATTAAAATGAAATATGGGTCGAGTCAGCGTATGGGATGCTGGTTTTCACATTTTCTAATTTTTTTCTACACATCTAGTCAATGCCAAGGACAATCCACTCAGTGATCGGACAACTAGTTGACAACTTGATAACACTTCTTACATCATTTTTATGATGTAATTTAAGTGATGCACTTGCATTGACTTAGGTTTGGTGCTTTGTAATAAATATGGTTGAAAATGTGTTCTTGACAGGTGAGATACTGAATCCGTGAATCGTGCATTTTATTCTTTCAAATATATATTTTGCATATATGAGTATATTTTTAAGATCAGAACATACTTCTTTTCCATGTTTGTTAATCTCCTTGATCCCCTTCCTGAAGAAGATCATTGCCCCACGAGGCCCACGAAGTGACTTGTGTGTAGTGGTTGTAACAACATCTGCATATTCAAAGGGAGATGGAATAACCCCTGCAGCAACCAAGCCACTAATGTGTGCCATGTCTGCCAACATTACTGCATTTTGCTTGTCGCATACCTGTTGAAGATATGATAAAGAACCTCTATGGTACAAAAATACTAATTGCATCACAAGTTATTATGTTTACAGTGGGAAAGCAAATCGTTTAAACTTGCCTTACGAATGTGTGCATAATCATATAACCGGGAATAAGCACTAGCACCAGCAACTATTAATTTTGGTCTAAACAGCGTTGCACTTTTCTCCAGCTGCATACACACAAAAACATTGTTGAAAATGAAAAACAACCTAAGGATTACCTCCCACAAGTACAACACAATAAATATTACACTCCCCAACAAAAAGATAGTCATATAGGGAGTCTTTCCAAGCAATTAATCACTTTTTCTTTTGGCTTATTTTAAGCACTGTTTAGAATTTCATTGTTTGCTTAAGCTAAAAAGCGCTTAAATGATCACTTTTTTGAGCCATAACTCCCATAAGTCAAAAGCTGATTTCCTACTTAAATTTTTGCTTATTGTTTATTTTAAGTTTTGTCCCAAATATTCCAAAGTTGTGATAATTATAGAGGCACGCAACTACTTAGTCTGGGAATGGAATATTGAGACTAGGTTGAGGAAGGAGGTGAGTTATCACTTACACTTGCATAATCACTCGTTTGCCAGCTCTACTTAATTACAAATACTACACACTTTTACATCGGTAATCACTTACTTATCACACAAAAGCAAAAGCATAAATGTAACTTTTTGAAAACACTCCCATAATATATAGGTAAGCAGTGGAAACAAACAGCTCCAAAGGAAAAACAATCATCTCTAGGAAGAATCTGTTAACACAGGGAAGACAAGTTGACGACTTTCTGAAGTGACTAACAAAACAAACCAGAATTTCTCAGTACGACAATAGGTAAGGAAGTCAGGTAACAGGTATTGATAACTTGATAAGTGTGTAATAGTTTGGATCTGCAACCCACTTCTTAGGCACGACATAAAAACCAGAATCATGAATATTCCCAATGCACCCATTACTGTATCTGGAGTATTATCAAAGGTAGACTGGACTGTAGTGTCATGCGAGTGTAAGTGTATGATGTGATAAGGAATCTATTTCTTTTCTTTTTGTTTTCATTTTTTTCTTTTGAGTGTACATATGGCAGTGAAAATGAGATCTTTTGAGTGTGTGTGGACCGGGAAAGGGGGCACCTGTCCTTAATTTCTAGTACTGGTATGAAGTGTTAGTCTTTTCAATGGCCAACCATCAACAGGAACCTTTACAAGCAAGCATTAAGACAGAAACATATAAGAAATAGAATAACTACAGAAACTTGAAGCCTCCCACGAGATACCTGATCATAGTCAATGTATCCTGTGCTCTCATCCAATCGGTAAGGCATTGTCTCAAAGAAGATAGAGACAGCAGAAATCTTCTTGGTGTCAGTCTGCCCAATGAAGGAGAGAATTAGATCAACAAATCTTAAAGAATGAATTGAGTTATAAACATTCACCTAAACGTATTTGGATTTCTGAAGATATTATAAGCAACCTGATAACCATGAGAAAGATGACCACCATGAGGAAGATCAAGAGCCATGATTCTCTCATGTGGTTTCAGTAGAGCAGTATAAACTTGAAAGTTTGCAGGGGATCCTGAGAGAGACTGAACATTGACTGTGAATGGTAAATTCCACAAGATTAGAAACATCATAATGGCTGGTTTTCTAATCACTGAAAGTGCCATATGCTACTTGAAGTAGCCAGTAAAAGTATATTAGGGACTTTTGACTTCACGTTTCAGATTGCTCAAGGAAAGCTTGAACATTTTTCGTCATTATATGACCAAATGGAACCATGCAACTTCATTACTCATAAACATTAAATCCTCAACCCTTATAACAGCTGCTAATTTATCAATAAAAATAATAGACATGATTGTTACCTCCCCATTTCTCAGGATCCAATTTGAAAGTTTCTAAAGCACGTTTCTGACACAATCTCTCTGCCATATCAATATACCTAAAACAGTACACAGTCAGAATTTCACTTTTCAGTGAAAAAATGGAACAGAAGAGAGCCAACATACTCATTTCCTCCATAGTATCTGGCACCAGGGTATCCTTCACTGTATTTGTTTGTCATCACTGATCCAACTGCTTGCATAACAGAAAGAGATGTAAAATTCTCCGATGGTATGAGCTCCAGTCCCTAACCTCACGAATCATGACAACCAAAATTTAAAATCATCAACTCCAAGCCTTAACCCAATATAACTGGAAGTGTAACCTGTGGAATCCTGCGTAGAATGACAAATACCTTCCACTGGCGAGCTTTTTCGAGCTCGATTATGTCAGCGACCTCTGGATCAACTTGTTCAAGAGGGGCATTCAACTTCTTTGTCCACTGTCATTCAATTTTCATAGAAACATAGTGCCATACACCACGTGAGCAATATTGAAGCGCAATGGAAAACCAAAATCAAAAGCATGGGAAATTGAAACGAAGAGTATAAGGTACCGTAACACGTGGGTCCTCTTTTTCCTGAAGCGCTTGATTGGGCAGTGAAGACTATCATTGGAGAAGAAATTAAGAAACAAGCGATCAGCAAACGTATGAATAAAGAAGTTGTAAAAGGCCGCAGCGGCGGGATTAATGACAGCATAACTGTACCTAAGAGAGATTAATACATGCTAAGTGGATTTTTACCACAAAGATTTATACAAATGTATGAGGTTTCAGAGGGATCTTGATTTGTTCAAGCACTAACCGTGTAGCGAAGAGAGGAGCCATTAGACAAGGGCCGAAGAAGGGAGGCCGGAGACGAAGTGCTGAGTAACCTCCTAAGAGCCATTCCGTGCCGGTCCTAAATCCACAAGGGCTTTCTGCAAAATAAAATTGTGGCCCTATTGATCTTCATAGTTGCAAAATTTTAATCAATTTCATATAAAGCATTATTAATGTTACAGAAAAAATGCGAAGAAAAAAGATCTAAACAAAAGTTTACATTAAAAGAGTCACCCTCTTTGCATATTTGGATGCAAAATTTTGTGTAAGTTCTTTGAGGCTTCTTTTCTTTTTATGTTTTTTGTGGCACATTACTCATTTCCTAGGGAACCATAACTACAAGAGATTTCAAAAAAATGAGAAACAAGGAGTAAACAAACAAATAAATACAGAGTGAGAGTCAATATAGAAGATGGCTTTAGGGTCCTGATGTGCGATAAGAAGATTTTAGTAAGAATGAAAGGGAAGTTCTATCGATACGTGGTCAGACCGGCTATGCTTTATAGAGCGAAGTGATGGGCTGTTTTTAATTAGATGTTCATCAAGAATGTGTGATGTTGCGGTGGATGTGTGGGCAGACGAAGATGGATAGGATTCAAAATGAGACTATTTGGAGAGATTAAGGGGATAAGATGGTGAACCACACGATCGATGTGTGAGAGATAATGGCGAGATTTATGCGCACGACGAGTGCCCATTATGTATGTAATTGTAAGTAGTACAAATAGAGGGAGAACCCTCCATAGTAAGGCGAATGAAAAACTCTGAAACACATTTAGTAATATTAATATTGTGAGATTTATCAATTATCATTATAATCCGTTCTTTGCCGCCATAGTTGTTGGGCTAATTCCCATCAGGTAGTTTTTCCTCTTTTTTTTCTCTTGTCATTGTGTTTGTGAGCTTGTTGTCTTGTGCTTTTCGTTCCCTTTTTTTTAATCTTGGTGCCTTGCATTGTACTTTCAGTATTACTTGAGTTGGGGTCTCTTAGAAATGACCTCTACTTTCATGTTGAGGTAAGGTCACACACACCTTCCCTGACCTTACTTTAGTGGGATTCTCCTGGGTTGTTGTTGTTATTGGAGTCAACAAACAAAGCATAACTAAAAGATTTTTTTTACCAGACAATGCATAATTTCCAATCGGGAATTCGGGATAACTCAATACCCGCGCCTACACTTTGCATTTTTTTAACGGGGCTGGGCATATTCTTTTTTGGGCTGCGCATAATTAAAATTTAAAATTTGGTTTAATGGTTCTTCACGCCAAACAAATTGAGCATTCAAAGAAGAAATTCAAAAAAAATCAAAAATAGAAGAATTTGTACCAGAAGAATCGTTGAATCCGAGATGGGGAATCGGAAATATGGATCGACGGGCCCTAGCAGCCTTGCCTCTTCCCTCCGTCTAGTTTTAAGAATCTCGATTCTCTCCTACGGTGGTAGCTTTTCTTCAAATCGCAAGAGCCGGGAGATTAACGCATTTACAATTACAAGTTTACAACTAGTATTAACGCAGTGTTTGGCAGGCAGATATTCTGTGTCTTATAATTCATTTTAATATCGGCCAGGTTCCAGTGCCACTGGAATCCGGTGCCACTCCGGTGCCACTCCGGTGCCACCGGCATTTTGGAGCACCTCTGATGCTCCGTTCGCAAAATTGACGGTTCTTACCCCCTAACCCACCCCCTAAACCCCCCACCCTACCCCCGCCCCTACACTCCCACCCCAACCCCACCGTAAGCCCCCCACAAAATGTGTGGCTATTATGCAACGCATAATATACCAGTGGGGGCATATATTCTAAATTTTGATATCTAAAAATAATATATTTGATAAATAATATATTTGGTAAATTAATTTTGATGAATAGTTTGATAAATAATTCGTAGTATAATTTTATAATAATGATATATATAATGTATTTGATAAATATTTTCTAACTACTACGTAGTAAAATATATCTTTTGGGAGAAAAGTTTTAATTTTAATATTGATGCACATGTATTAAAATTTATATAAATCTTTATTTTGAGATGTAGTAAAAAGGAAAATGATTAATACTCTCTCCTTTTCGCAAAAAAATTCTCCTTTTTTTTCTTCCGTCCCAAAAAATACTTTCCATTTCTCACAAAAAGTCTAAGCTATTATACCCTCAATCCCAAACCCTTACAAAAAGCTACCATATCCGCCCCTAACCCTTTCTAATCTTCTTCTCTCTTGACCACCGATTCCAATTCCCAAAGCTTCTCTCATCTTCTCCTCTCCTATTTTCCTCTCAGATCTAATCTTCTTCTCTCATCTTCTCCTCTCATCTCAGATCTAATCTCTAAATCTTCTTCTCCTCTCTGAATCGATGAAAAATCGCGACCCTACGATGCCCTCCTTTCAATTACTCAGTGAGAGTGATGAGGATACATCTCTTCCTCGTCAAAGATCCCCTCCACCCACTATTTCGAAGAGGAAGGATGAGGAGATTTGGGGATCTTGCTTGGATGGAGGTGGATCAGACTCCTCTGAGACGGATCCAACTTGGAATTTCCGTAAAAAGTATTTAGGGGGGGGGGGGGGTTACTACTCTGACCCTAAAAGGAGTTACGAAGAAGAGGATGGAAAAGAAGACTCGGAATCTGTGACATCTGCAGAGATCTTAGACATGTCTGAGAATGAGCTCAATTTTTCAGAAGCTACTACAGGCTCGGCTAAACGTAATCGTTTCAAATCAAGTAAGATGTATCTACTTTGATTTGCTTGCATACGGAGATTTGAATTTTTTTTTGGCAAACTAATGATGCAAACTTGATTATGTTATGAAAACAGTTTTAAATATGTGAGGTGTTTTGCTGCAATGTCACCACTTTCATGTAGGAGACTTACACAAACCACATTTATGATGGTATGGTCTATGCTGTTTTTTGTCTACCTCTATTTTGTAGTGTGAAAGGCTACGTATTTTTTGGTGATTTAAGTTATGTTTTGTGGTTCTATGCTTCCACTACACTTTTTCTAAATTAGGACATATACTACACTTTAGATACTACACTTGTTAAGATACTACACTTCTTCTTATTAAGGATAGATACTACAAATAAAAAACAGACACTACACTTTTTTTTTATAAAAAAGGATAGATACACTTTAGAAAGTACATTTCTTATAACAAAAGATAGATACTACACTTCAGATACTCCTCTTCTTCTTAACAAAAGAAGAATACTACAATTTAGATACTCCACTTCATATAAACAAATGTACAACCCAGCAAAAAGTGCAAAAAACAGGTAGTTGTTAGTAGTTGAACATTTTGTATCCTGACCAAACTACCTGGTAACCAAAAGTTAGATGCTACACTGATTACATTTGTGCAAAAGCATTGACTTGGGAGTACATGATAATATTGTACTTTTCCCATGCCCTGTTATACATATAAAAAAGAACTTCCAAAAGTTTACATTTTTTCTTCCAGAAAGTGTTTTGCCTGTTCATAAACTTCCTGCCTCACCCCTACATTCTCTGGCAGCCTTCCTTCCCTAGCTAACATTGTTTTTCCAATGTTAGGTATTTTGAAGTTGTTGCCATTTGTTATTTAAAACCTCACTCATAACTCCTTGCAAAGTTAGGAAAACATTATTCAACTTCTCATGAGGGATTTCCTCAAATGTTGTGGTTACGACATTGATCAAGTCATTTAAATTTCTAGGAGCTGATTGTTCTTGAATGATGTCAATTGACCTAAAGAAACCCAGATCAAGTACATTTAAATCTGGGCTATTAGGTGGCTAAAATTTCAGTTTGATGTTCCAATCTTCTTCTTGTGCAGCTGCTACAAAGTCTGGATTATTTCCATCCACATGTGGTTTTGCATTATCTTGCTGAATGAGAACATGTTTTATTTGTCAGGCCATTTTTTCTTGATTGTTGGCAGTACTTTCTGAATCAAAATGTTTTTCATGACATGCCTGTTTATAATTGGCACTGCCTTTACTTCAAGTGTTCCTGTTTATAATTGGCACTGACCTCTTTGCTTCAACAAGAAAAGTGAATGGGAAAATGTCAATTTTCCCATCCCAAAGTAGACCCCATCATCCCCATACCTAGGCCTACCCACTGTAGCTAAAAAAAATTATTTTTGGTATGTGTGTTTTTGATTGAATTGTTCTGTATGGGTCTTCTTCCTCTGGCAGTGCATAGAAGGTGGTCTTTTCCTTTGTGATATTGAACCATTTCTCATCAATATGAATATAAATCATATAAATTGTGAAATGTTGGGTTCAATGGAAGTGATGAGGGTCAAATATGATCCAAACAAAAAGAAAGTCTTTTTAGCTTACCTGAGTATGACAAATATGGCTTGATTGCATTAGAATGTCTCCTTATGGTCTTCCTTTTTAGCCATCTCTGGACAGTAGATTTAGACACTTCCATTGCATAGCCAAGTGCACGTATGTTCTTGCGCCTATGAAATGGAATTGCCAACATCTTTGGAATGTCCACAGTCACTTCTTTTCTACCAGAGTTGCCTTTCCTCTTGCATTGTACAGAAATTGGTAGACCATCCTACGTTTGACCTCTAGTTAAAGACCATATTTTCCCTACTGTTTTTCAGGATATGTTGAACTCTCCCGTCACTGCTTGAATGCAACCACGCTGAAGTTTGCCATGTTTATAAAACAGTAGTAACCTATCCACTATTCTTCTTCTTTTTTTGCTTTGTTGTTCCCCTACTTTTTCTCGTGAATGTGCTGCATTTTTTGTTGTGTCTGTAGGAGTTTCAAGGTTGAGGAAGGGAACTTGGAGAAGTGGCGGGTGGGGGCGGTTCTCACTGGCAGAATCATCTCCTGATTCTGGAGAAGGTTGCTCAAATGAAAGTAAAGATGGTGACTCCATAGAGAAGAGAAGAAAAAAGAAAAGAAAGCATTGAATGCATGGAATGCATTCAATGCTTTCTATTTGTAGATATATTTCTATTTTTGAGTTTGTTGTAATTGGAGGGAAATGAAAAATTTCCCCAAAATTTTCCCTCCTGCACTACAAAACAATATAAATGCATATTTATAATGAATAGTGGTGTAATCATTATGTTGATTTGATGGGTATCCTTTCCCTTATTTAATTGTTTAAAGTACACCCACTTTCTCTCTTACACTTTTTTTTGGGCAAGTCAATGCCAAAATATCCCCTCCTTATTTAGGGATAATAGTAAAGCCAGGAACTTTTATGTGGGACGGAGGGAGTATGTTTTAGTACTATTTAGTGCAAAATTCACATTTATTTTTCTAAAATGATAATTACTTCTTCAAAAACTTATTAATTTAAATTTAAACTTACAATATTTTTTGCCTCGATTTCATTTAATCTTAAAAATCACACATCATTTTTGTATTTTAATATTTTTAGTAAAATAATATTATGATGTCAATTATATCATTTATATATAAATGGATGGATTTTGTTTGCAATAAACTATCTATTCCTAAACACAAATTTATCTTTTGGCTCATATGTAGAAATAAACTCCAAACAAAATGCAGGCTGAACAAATTCCTCCCTATAGACACTCTTTGCCTCCCATGCCAATCTGGTCAAGAAGACACCCAACACCTCTAATTGCATTCAACAAAGGATATCTATAGAAAGATAAGTGACTGAAGTGTGTTTAAATTAGTGGGTGGCGGCCTTGAAGATTTCATTGTGGGTTTTTAGAATATTCAAACACTAAAAAGGAGGAGGATCATAGCTATCTTTGGTGTAAGTGTGTAACACCCTAATCCGTCCTGGTCTGCAGCCCCTTTGAGACTAAAGTAATAAACTTGGTATTCGTAAATATTCAAATATTTCAAACATTTAAAAACTTTATTTAATAATGAAATTATCCAAGATAATAACAGAGTAGTTTAATGTTGCGGAAGCTGAATATATAACAATTACAAAACATAATAATTTTATGGCTTTTAAAACATCAATTCATTTAACATGACCACCTCGACCATCTCGCTCCCGTCTGCCTCCAGAAATCATCACTTCATTCATTTTGTCTACCTGCGTGTAGCAAATAAAACATACTACACGCTCAGCGGTGAAGCTGAGTAAGCATATCTAAAGCGTCGAACATCCACATAAATTGAATCTCAATTCACAAACAACCATTTGATATCATGCACACAATATATAATTCATTCATGATATTCTCAATATTTTTATTCCAATATCTTAACATTCAACATTTATATTCAATATTCAATATTCAACAATATCCTTAAACTATGCTTAGTCTAAGGTCAATCTTTTTGATGTTTACCAACTCTTAAACTAATTCTAGTTCAAGGTACTTCTATCCAACTCTTAAGCTAGGTCATTAGTTTAAGGTACATATATTCCGATTGATTACCAACTCTTAAACTAGCCTTCGCTTAAGGTACAAATCCAGAAAACCGAACAGTAGAATACTAACTGTCGGGTTGGGTGGTATCCCCAAACGAGTTCCTCTAGTTTGGTTATGGATCCCGTACGTACGTTTTTACCC